CCACCCCCCCCACCCCCCCCCCCCCCATCACTTTACAAATTGCAACATACACTGATAACAAAATGACAAATCGAAGGGTGGTTAGTTAAATAAACTGTTGTTGTTTTTTTAAATCAAAGACCTAATAGGCCCATTACAGCATTGATCCTGACGGCTCAATTTTTCGGCGGCCAATTTTCCCAATGCCCTGGCGGCCCTGTCCACCCCTTCCCAAAAATGGGAGATGGGGCTAAAGTAAAGCGTATTTAATTTTTAAAGTTCAAAGACTTCTTTATATATTGTTTTCAAACGATGGATAGCTGAAAATGTTGATCCGTTGGATGATGTTGACTGCTCAGACGTTAATTAGATCTAATTAGATGTTTTTAATTGTGCGACCGGCCAAATGCCCAGCTGGCTTTACCATCTTCATTTGTATATCCTCCCCCACCCCCCTCGCCTTGAGATATACCTACGAGCAATGATCCCTCTAAGGGGGAAAAGCTAGTGTGCAACGTGTATTTTGTGTGCGCGGTATTCCAAAAATCTAATACAACTTTATTTTACAAAATCACTGCGCGGCAGCTCAAAACTACTGCGCGGGCCGCCAACCGCGCAGCTTAGAGGGAACACTGCCTACGAGTACGGATAAGCCCGGATAACAAACTTACACTGTTATTTGATGTTGTTGTTTTCTAATGTAAAAAACAATTAACAGCACAAAGTTAAAATCAAACACAGTACGACAAATATGGCGTCACATAACAAGAAATGAAATAATGCTTTAACCCGGGGCACCACAGAGTGTCGCGTGGTGGCACCCACCCCAGAGGCGTAGCGACCCTTCCGGGGACAAACTTTCGAATTGCACCCCCCCCCCTAACTTTCGATTACTTTTTCCAACCCGTTTTGGCGCCCCTTAAAGGTCGGCGCTCGGGGACATATGTCCCCCCCTGCCCCCCCCCCCCCCCCCCCCCATCGCTACGCCTCTGACCCACCCCGCTCCATGACGTCATACATCAACACGCGGATGAAGAGCCCGCGTGAAAAGGAGTCAGGTGTTTTGAGTCAGCGATGTTTGTTGTCGTCGCCTAACATGACAAGAGCGACATGGCAGAACAATAAAATACTTAAAAAAAAACTTTTTAAAAAACCACGTTTTTCTTGTGGACTAAAAAGTAGAAAATAAAATTTTCTTTTGTGCTTCCTCGAGCTGTGCAGGTTCTTGTGATGACTGACAAAAAAACGTGGGTACGTTCACCATCAAATTTCCCGACCCATCTGCCCGACCCACGTTTTTTGTCAGTCATCACAAGAACCTGCACAGCTCGAGGAAGCACAAAAGAAAATTTTATTTTCTACTTTTTAGTCCACAAGAAAAACGTGGTTTTTTAAAAAGTTTTTTTTTAAGTATTTTATTTTCTCCTTTTTAGTCCGTTGCTACACATGAAAAACGTGGTTTTTTAAAAAGTGTTTATAAATACACGGACTAAAAACTTGAGCGACCAGGATTCGAACCTGGGTTGTCGCGGCCACAACGCGAAGTACTAACCACCATACGATCACGGCCAGCGCGCTCACATCGATTGGGGCCGAAGTAACTGGGTCAATAGGCCTCCAGTCTTGTCGGTATCTTTAGAAATCATGTCCTCAATTTTATGGTCCTTGGGGCGTAATTAAATTAAGCTAATTACGGTCACTAATTGCTAGTTTTTATGATTGCATCTGAAATTGTTAGGCAAAAGTAGCATGCATGCCAAATTTCAGGTCTATAGAGCAATCAGAAGTGGGCTAATTTTCGATGTCAATTTTAACAACAAACATCCAAACAAACAAACAAACGCGAAGCTGAGTTAAGAAAAACGTGTTAAAAATAAACAGCGCGTCCGTCAGGTACACACCGACATCTGCACCGTTGGACTATCGGTGCAGAAATGGTGCACATATTGTGACACATGAGTACAGAGGCGTAGCGAGAGGGGAGGCGGGGGTGGGGGGGTACATATGTCCCCGGGCGCCGACCTCAGGGGATGCGCCAAGATGGGTTGGAAAAAACAATTTAAAATGTCATTTTAGCTGCAGTTTTGCATTATAAATATAAAAATATATCGGGGGGGGGGGGGGGGGGGGAGGTGCAAATGGAACGTTAGAAGGGGGGTGCAAATGGAAGGTTTGAGGGGGGTTCAAATTGAAAGTTTGAGGGGGGGGGGTGCAAATTGAAAATTGAAAGGTTGTTCCCGACGGGGGGGGGGGGTGGCGCCAAATTGAAAGTTTGTCCCCGGGCGCCGGAAAGTGTCGCTACGCCTCTGCATGAGTATGTCATTTAACTCTTGTCCTATCGTTACCCCATGCAAAGCAGTAAAGCAGTGTAACATATTCATAAACCACTTTTCGTGCACAATGTAATGATTCTAACATTTCCATTCACACACAAACACATACACACACAGACCTAAAACCAGTTTTTAATTATTCATTATAATAATGCTGTTTTCGCAATTATGTTAACAGAAATCTTTTTTTCTGTCCGACAATTGATTCTAAAAAAAAAACTAATAAAACTGGCTTAGCGATATTTAAAAAAAAAGCAGGAGTATAAAAACAAATAATATTACTCTACAATAAACCAACACATCACCTCTTGTTTTATATTTTCAAAATCACTACCCCCCCCCCTTCCTACTTCCTAGGGCTTAATCGTTCTTAATGGTAATGTTGGATGGGATTTCCTTCTATATATGTCCGTATTACGTGTCACCATGTTATACGCCATTTAGTATCTAGATCCAGTTAGAAAAGAAAGCTGAAAACCAGAGTCATCAGTCTTCTTTTCTTTCAGGATATGCTAACATAGATATGTCCATCAAAAAACAAACAACATGGCAGCCGTTGTTTGGTTTTAGAGTTATCTCTCCTAGATGGGTTACTGTCCCTAGCTATCGTCTCCGTGTTAGCCTACATGACTCGTTTTTATTCTCTCTTTCTCTCTCTCTCTCTCGGCTTCTCTCTTTTTCTCCTTCTCTCTCTCTTTCTCTCTCTCGCTCACTCTGATATTTCATCTCTCCAAAAGCCTTCTCTCCATGTCTGTCTAACCACCCCTCCCCTTTCAGTCTATCTTTCCCGATAAACGATATCATTAGACATCATTAAAGCTGACCGAGATCAATACCCCCCACCCCTCAACCCCCCCCCCCCCTCCTGCAGCTCCCCTAAGCTGCAGACTGCACATCACGTGGACGGTAATGACCCAACGGTATACGGCTGTTAATGACAGCACACAATTAGTCTGTGAATGATGTATAGAGTCAGCCTACCTTTGTGATGGGCAATAACATGCTGAGGTAATGGAGTTGCTCATTATCTCACCTACACGCTTAGTGTATTGAGAAGTAAGAGGAGGTAGATTTGATATCAATACAGCAGTACAGGATTGGCTAAAAGTGCTTTGGGTTTAGCAAGTGATGGCTTTGGTTGAAAACTGTGTTGATTTAGTAAGACTTATTCATATTGATATATATGTATAGATATATATCCTTAATTTATTTTAGTAAAAATGTAAGTATGGTAGTAAAATGTATATATATATATATATATATATATATATATATATATATATATATATATATATATATATATATATATATATATATATATATATATATATATATATATATATATTTACATATGTATATATAATTCATTAATTATATTTATATAGGGCCTGCAGGCTATATATATATATATATATATATATATATATATATATATATATATATATATATATATATATATATATATATATATATATATATAAAGAGAGAGAGACAGAGACAAAATGTCAAGTTCATTGTCCTTATTTGGTTTCTATTTCCGAAGCACTGATTTCGTGCTAAATATTCATAAAGATAATACCCTAGCCATCTTCGAACCAATCGCACTTGGTTTAATTATTGCACACAGTAAACCTCGATCACGCTTTCTCCAAACCACCCTATTTATACATGCTATTCAAACGCGATAATTAGAACTATTAATATCGCGACTCTACTATAATTATTATTTCTTGTGTAAAGATTATAATTGTAAAACAAATCGAAATTCGGGTTTGGGTTTATGTCGATTCTAAGAATAGAGATACTATTTTTGTATTTTTCTTTGTATGACTAGAAGAAAAAAAACAATGATTGCTTTTACGTTATTTGATCCACAGACAGACGAATATCGATCCTTCAGTGACAGACTACGGCGCTTGCTTGGATTCGCCACTTAGGCGATGAGAAACAACGGAAAACATGGCGGACTGAATGATGGCGAAATGTCAGGCTTGCAAGGGAGAAAACCACGGCGACGAAACTCAGCGTCAAGCGGAAGTGGGATGTTATAAATAAAATATTGTATTTAAGTGGGGAGTTGAAGGTTGGTTTCTTCATCATCGTGGACGGAGCTGACAAGTACGAAGCGCGTGCGATTGTAAATTACCGAGTACGGTGATTTTTTTTTCACTTTTGTCGAGAGATAATCTGGCAGGTTCCATTCTTCAATGACGGGTTGTTTTTAAATCACAAAACTCTAGACGACAGGAATTTTTTTTTAAGAAGGGGATATTGCCAGTTGTGGAATTTTTGAGAGGAGTGAAGTTACCAAGAACATATCTGTGATATCTGGAGCCAGTAGAAGATTTAAAAAAGGAAAGTATGTGGTGAGAACTATAGTTGAAAAAGAACGTTTATTGTGGAGCCTGAAATTATACTTACATCTGTGTAGATGTAACGCTCCCCCTACACCTCCAACATACTAATACAGCTCCGCTACGTCAAACACCCTGATATAACTCCTCTATATTTACCATACTGATATTACCCCTCCGCTCATCCATATATATAACCTCCCTCTACGTCCACCATCCTGATATACTCCCCTCCACTCCCACCATCCTGACATAACCTCCATCAAGCCCACCATCCGTATAAAACCCCTTCACCCATCATCCATACATAACCCTCCCCCCTCCACACCCACCATCCTGATGTAAACCCCCTGCCCCCAGCCCAACCGTCCCTTCATGTCACTTACAATGAGTAAACCCATTCTAAACTGCTGGCCAAAACAGATCACCTCGGTGTGGCTCCTCCCAATCTTCACCCTCCTCCACCTCCTACTCGCCATCCTCAGCCTCGCCCACCTCCTCATCCCCAAGTGCTTGCCTAGGATCACCTCCAAGAGTTGGCACCGGATCCTCCATCTCCTGATGGAGTCCTCACTCTACTTCTCCCTCCGCCACCTCAAACACCTCCTCTCCGTCGGCACCCTCTTCGCCTGCATCGCTGCCTCTATCGTCATCCGAGGAGGGTGGATGCACTCCGAGTTCAGCGCCGTCGAGCGATACGGAATCTTCATCAGCTTTCTCATCTACGTCCTGCAACTCTCCCTCCTGGTACCGCTTCCGTTTTTCATCTTCAACTTCCTGGGCGTCGTGCTGCTCAATGTATTCACACAGCGTCCCAAACTCCAGCGCTCACCGCTGCTTGGTCCGTTCTTGTGTTTCCGGGTCGTCACCAAGGGACTGTACCCAGAGTTGGTCAACGATAACGTCGAGTACAACCTAAAACTATGTAGGAATGTAGGTCTTCATAATTTTATTTTTGAAGTAGTTACGGATATTCCCGTGAATCTAAAAACAAACAAACAAGCCAGGGAGATTTTGGTGCCGAAAGATTATCAAACGAAATCCGGCTCCTTGTATAAAGCCCGAGCTCTTCAATATGCATTGGAACCGGAAGTGGATATTCTTAGCCCTGGAGACTGGATTGTTCACCTCGATGAGGAAACCCTTCTGACGGAAGAGGCGGTGATTGGTATCGTCAACTTCACAGGCGCCGCCGAACACTCATTCGGTCAGGGCGTCATCACCTACGGCCACGGCAAGATCATTAACTGGGTCACCACTCTGGCCGATTCGATACGTGTAGGAATCGATTACGGTTGTCTGCGCTTCAGTTTAGGCGTGCTCCACAAGCCGATTTTTAGTTGGAAGGGATCGTTCATCGTCGCCGACGCCGAGGCGGAAAAGAAAATCTCGTTCGACCACGGACCGGAAGCGTCCATCGCCGAGGATTGCTTCTTCGCGTGCGTGGCGTTCAGCCGAGGTTACAGCTTCGGCTTCGTCGACGGGGTCATGCTGGAGAAAAGTACGTTCACGCTGTGTGATTTCATGCGGCAGCGGCGTCGCTGGATGCAGGGCATACTACTTACCGCGCTCAGCTCAAAAATACCGTGGCGATTTAAGATCGGACCCGTTTTGATGAGCTTCTCAAGCTGCACGCTGCCAATCAACCTTCTAATGATCCCGGTCAGCTTTATATGGCCCATGCCATCGTCCCCTTTTATCATGCTGACCTACAACTTCATCCTGGGAACAATTATATATCTCTTCATTCTAGGGACACTACAGACCTTTTGTATACAGCAATACGGCTGGTGGCGCTGCTGTTTACTAGTTTTAGCCACTATACTCTGTGGACTTGTGGGCGGTGTTCTAGAAAATATTGTGTCCATTTTCGTTTTCTGGTTCCCTAAGTCGTCCATAACAAATTTTTACATAGTAAACAAACAAGTTCCCTGTGATTGTATTAAGGTAGTATAACATCAATACGGCATAGTCACTTTAGAAGGGTCTTTTAATTGTATTCACCATTCCACATTAGTATTTACTATAAAGTATAAAGAGAGTGGTTCTAAGCATATATATATATATATATATATATATATATATATATATATATATATATATATATATATATATAGGCCTATATATATGCATATCAAGAGATGTGGTTGATTTTGTTCATTGCCAGTAATTAAAAACATCTCCAATATATTCCATACGCTTTAGGTCGAAGGTGTCAAGAGCAGGTAAGCCTCCGTGCAACCCCTTAAATCTGTCTAAACCATTCCAGTAGAGTTGAAATTTTAAATAAGTCTGTGTGTACTATCAATATTGTGTGCTCACAAAGACATATTCCAGGTCATTGGTATCTATTATGTTTATGTTTTAAAAAATGTGCTTCGACGAACCACAACTCGTATTGTGTAGTTGTGCAAGGAGTTGCCCTTGTCATGTGACTCGCCGTGTTATCAAATGGATATTTTAGTTTTCATGATTTATTATTTATCTGGCATAAATAAAATAGTGTCAGTAAAACATGGCTTGGTTGTTCCTCGAAAAAAGAAAGGTTAAAGAAGTAAATTAGGTTTAGACTTGTTACTATAGAAAAACGTGATACAGTATAACTTTTGGTACGGCTAATTACCGGATGATATTAAACGCTTAAACCATTCCGTGTTTTAAACTATCTTGCTCACTTAGATTTTTTTTTTTAATTATACCTTTTAAAAATAAAAAAAAATAAAATCCAGTTGAAGCTGATGACTCAGTCAATCCCCATTTTATTTCTCCACCAAATCTATTGAACTTTTTAAAAAGATGCTATGAATAAATCAAAGCTGATGGGGGGAAAAATAACAGTCATTATAGTATTGATATTTTCGTGCGCAAATGCGTGTGTAATTAGTTTGAAGTTGTAATTCTATCGTAGAACTAAGCCGCGTGATAAATCTGGTAACATTTTGTAGGCTAGCAAATAGAAGGTCAAAGGTGGAAGGTGACAGTTTTTAAATTCGTCATAGGCCTGGTCGTGCGGATTTAAAGTTTTTAAACAACTCATGTAAATTGTTTCAGCATTCTAAAATTAGACAAATAAACGTTTTCGGTAACATGTAAAAAATGTGAATTTTTAATCAATTTGAAATATAGATTATATAGACCTAAGTAAAAAAATGTAAAAAAAAAATTTACTTCGAATCAGCAAGTTGGGTGTTTTTCTTTTTTTTTTTTTTTTTTTTTTTACAAATTGATTTGTAATGAAAAAAAATTGCGGCATAGGCCAAGGTCATGCGATTAAATCAGCTCCTATAAATTACTTCATTATTCTAAAATTAGAGATATGAACGTTTTTGATAGCAATCTGTAAATCTGAATTTATTTAACTTAATCATTGTGAAAAAAAAAGATTATTTTGGCCAAATTAAAACTTAAAATAAAAAACCTCCTTTTGAATCAGCAAGCATATTATCAGTGTTTCTTCCAGACTTTTTTCTCCGGGGGGGCACTTGAAATTTTCGGGGGGGGGGGGGGGGGCGCTAGACTTTCTTCGGGGGGGGGGGGGCGGACACTGTTAAAAGTATATATTTTCTATATAAATTATATACATTTCATTTCGTTCGGGGGGGCGGTAAAAATTTTTCGGGGGAGGCTTCGCCCCCCCCCCACCCCCCGAAGAGATGCCTGGAAGAAACTCTGCATATTATAATTCTTTTTTTATTTTCCAAAGTGATTTGTAATGAAAAAAAAAACGCGGCATAGGCCTACATAAGCTGTTTTATACGTATCGACTGATGCAATTAAAATTGTACGTGTGTTCATAGGTTTATAGGTAGAAGTGCGTACATTGTTTGTGTGAATAGCCTATATTAGCGATGGAGCTAGAACCTGTTATATATATATATATATATATATATATATATATATATATATATATATATATATATATATATATATATATATATATATATATTGTGATATAGTAAAAAAGGCCCCTGTACGTTTTTATTATAATTATGATTATGGATGGATTTTATTGTGCTCCTTAATAAAATCACCCCTTCCCCCACTATCGCTCTGTTGTATTTTTAACAGTTGAAGCTATTTAACAACGACATATAACATGTCTATAAATGCCATTTTAGCTACAGTATGCAGTTTGAGTCTCGGTGCATGCATAGGCACAGTAGGGAGGGGGGGGGTGTTAGGTGGGTTATAACCCATGACACAATACATATCAAACCACGTCCACGACAGCTATTGTACTTGACAGTTTTAGTTTGGGTAGAAAGGGAGATAAGAAAATGTGGTTTCTTATATAGAAAATCTAGCTCAATTTTTTTAAACTTATTTTTTGAAATTCTGCGCATGTCTCATAAAATACAATGGAAGTGGTAATTTATAAGACAGTCGTAGCGTGATAAATAAAGTAAAAAATTCCAACAATAATTTTCTTTCTTCAAATTATTTTTTAAAGGGAAGGAATTAAGGTATCATTGTTTAAAAAAAAACTACCCAATCTCGTTAATCATATTATTTGTTCTTAAACTTTAAAAAAGGAAATTAACATTATATATATATATATATATATATATATATATATATATATATATATATATATATATATATATATGAGTGTGTGTTGTGTGCGTGTATGTCTTTAGGATACGTTTACAAATATAGCCTAAATCGAGAATAATTATGACTATTAAAGTTTAAAATCGATATTATTTGATTTTTTGCTCTTCAAGCCAAGCTAACAATGCACGATCTCTTCAGTTTACTCGAACAAGAGCCATTCAAACACGGCCTCAGGCTCCCACAACATGTTCTTGTAGTCCAGATTGTGATTTATGTCTTACACCTAAATTAGGAAAAACGATTTATTCGACTTGATGACCCCCTTGTGACATCTCAGTGTGTAATCGATACCCCGCCATTATACTAACGTGCTCGATGTTTAAAGTTTTTTTTTAATTATTTAGGTTTTATTTATTTTTTCTATTTGCTCAGCCGCCTTTTTATTTTACTTGTGTGATTGTTTTGATATAGACCTTGATGTTATTTATGCAAACCTACAAATAGCAGTTTGGTTGTTTCTTTTTAAATTGTATATATATATATATATATATATATATATATATATATATATATATATATATATATATATATATATATGGTTTCTAGGCCTACTATTTGTATCCTACACTGATATTTTAGAGGGATGACGCGTCGAATACATGTCGTGGTGCTTACAGTAACAATCAATTCGTATTAACATGCTATATTTATTTTACTTATGTCTTTGAATTTTACTTCTAACACTTTTATTACTTAATATTTATTAAAATATCAGGCCTGCTCCTGTTATTTGCATTATATCTGCTGTGGTATCGCTAGTTGCCTACTGTACTTTCGGTATTTAGCCTAAACGTAACTTCTGAATTGAGTTATTTAGAAGAAAATTCATCAGTTTCAGATCTACATTCCATACACAAGAAAGCTTATGAAAAATAAGGCAAAACTGTATGCTGCTTGCCATGAACAAAACCTAATTTTGTGTAAATCGATAACAAATAATAAACTGAGATTAATTATCCTATGCTGGGATTCTTTTTTTTTTTCAGGGGAGGTCACCTAAATCTGGCATGACAGGGAGATAATAAAGAAAACTAGGGTTGTCAAGTAGGCCTACGTCAATACATAATTGGTTGTAGGCCTATTATTTTTAAGAGTCCTATAAGTAAATTATTTCCCCTGTAGAGGCTCAACTTATTCCTTAACCACTCACCTCCCTCTCATATATTACGGACATAATTTTATTGGAGTAGGGCCTACCGCTAGAATAATTAGGTCAATTACTAATCCTTTACGATATACATACAGTGATATTACGCTTTATTACGCTTTTTAAAATGAAATTCAGTGTTGGAATTACGCTCTTCACTATTAGCTTAAATATACGGCTTCATTAAATTGCATAATCTAAAAAAGGAACTACGGAATTACCAATTTCAGCCGCATGTCAGGGAAGATAACTTCGAGTAAGCACATATCAGCTCATTCCTATTTAATTCCCTTAGTTGTTTTTTTTGTGCTACTTTTTGTATGTGTGCCCGTACAGGTTGTTTATGTAGGTCTACAAGAGTTGTAAATCTAGTAAACTGGTGTTTTTTTACACACTTGGAGCTTAGCATGTTAGAAGCGAGGTTAAGCTATTAATATATAAGATAAGTAAAGTAAGTAAAGTTTCCCTTTCAAACCTGACGGTCTATGGGGCAAGTGAAGTAGAGTTCACTTGTTTCTGTGACCTCGGCATATGAAGAGATAGTGTGGTCAGGACTATGCCCAGCCGCCTTTACTTTCCCTAACGTGAGTTAGGTACTCATCAGAGTTGGGTGGGCTCAGGGACGGTCTACTGACTTGAACCCGGATTCGAACTCGAGACTAACGGGTTAGCAGTCCAGCTCTCTACCGCTAGACCACTCCGTCCCATAATATATAAGATAGAACAGAATTATTAGCAAATAATAGAAGATTTAATGGTTCGTTATACTAATGTCTCCTTAAGACCTGTCTTCCCATGTGTTTTAACCATGTCCTGTTCATCAGCATTTTAAAACCTGCGATGCTACTGATTTGGTCGGTTTTTTCAAAAGTAGATCTTGAACTTAATTTAGCTGTGAAATGTATATTAAAATTAAGATACAAATATAACACGTTACTAGTGAGTTATTTTTAAAGCTGATTTTAAATTGAAATGTATGCTTGATTGCTGTGTACTTGGTAATGTACAATTTGATTTCATTTGTCAAAATTAAAATACTCAATTATAATTTTGATTTTTAATTGTGTGCATTAAATTTTCATAAAATTAAAACTAGCTTATAATAAATTTTGCCACTTTGTTTTGTCAACTTCTTTTAGAGTTTATAATTTTCAATTTTATACCACTGGAAAAGACAAGTTAAAAACCAAACATCCCAGATTAATAAACTGATATAAAAGATGTGTTGCATAATGTTGATTTTTGTTTTAACTTGTTAAAAAATGACCAAAATGCCTTGAACAATTATTGGATTATCTTGGACTAATTTCAAAGAGAACACAAGAACATACATTAGTAACTATATTATGTTAGTAACTAAAAGATACCCTGCTGTTTATAGTTAATCAACTATAAACAAATCAAGCAAAATTTTTCTTTAAGACCTAACGCTCTATAGGGCAGATCAAGAGTTCATGCTTCATGACTGAAGCATATACGGGACAGTGTGGTTAGCACTATATCCAACTGCCTTTACTTTTCCATACGAGAGTCAGGTACCCATCAGAAGTGGGTGAACTCAGTGTCGTCCTGAGTCCAGAACTATATCCAGACTTGTTATTCAGGCTAGCAGTCAAGCACTCTTCCACCCAACAAGACCATCCCATTTGAAGCTAAAAAATAAAACAACTGCTAAGAGCAGATAAAAACCCATGAACTAAACCATGCATATCCTCTAAATTCTAACACAAGGCAGCAGAAACTGTTCTGTGGACTAATGCACAAACTAACCATAAGTTGCAAGCCCAGGTTACCTTCAACTTGTTAGCCTTTGAGAAACAGCATCAAAGGAATCTCAACATTTTAATTTAAAATAATTAGCAAATTGGTGCCGAATATTATTTTAAAAATTGCTTTCATGTTATTGGGTTGATTAATTAATCAAAATTAGATCTCAGTTCCTTGATGGAGGTCACTAATTATATTTTCCATTTTTTTGCAACTCTTAAACTCAATAAACAATAGATCTTATAAAAAAAGAATTAATACATTACAGAATGTATTTTTAAATTTATTTCAATACATTTTTATAAAGCACAAATTTTGAAATAAATATGTATTTACATAAAGAAATGACTAAAAATTACTTCTATCAAATATCATGTAGTTTTTTCCTGAAAAGGCGAGAGCAAATGAACATTTGGCTTCAGCAGAGAATCTTGAACTTTGTTCAGAAATTTTTCTCTCACGTTACTGAACTCCATGATGTCTCTGGGCTCTTCTGATATCCAGAACTGAGTAAACTCATACAATAAGTGGCCTGGATATTCAGAAATAAATTTTTTTTATACCAAAATGGGCTATTAAAAGCATACAGTTACATTTGTACACTAGTATTTTTTAAACTTTTAGCATTCAATTTTAAAAAACAATAAAAATAAATTATATATTATGCCACCAGTAAATTAACAATCACAGACAATTTTTAAAAAATTATTTAACTTACAGTAGACTTGGTGAAAGTCATTCAAATCAGGGACTCTCTTTTGAAAGGCATAAAAATGTGGACGCAATTTTCTTTGAGCAAGTAAAGTATATCCCATTTCAGTTATATTGATACCAACTATTGCAAAGGAGAATCTGAAAAATGAAGGTGGGATAAGAAGATTCAGTATTGACATCTTTTTTTAATGAATAAATTAGTGGTAGAACTAATATAATTTTATATAATTGTGCCTCAACATAAATTTATATAGTAAAAAGGTTAGCCTTTTGGGTCAATCAGACAGTCAATATGGCACCTATGGCAGAGTTTATTTGTTTTATATGACCATGGCATACAAAGATAGTGTGATTAATACTATGCCCCACCTCCTTTATTTTCCCTAACTTGTGTCTGGTGCCTATCAGAAACTAAATACTTACCCAAACTGAGGATGATGTGACTGACTGAGAACTTTCTGAGCCTCATTGGGATAGTTCTGTCCAAAGTATCTGAAGGTACAAACATAAAAAGGAATTGTTTAAACTGACTATTGGTTAGATAAAATTAGAATACACTTTAAGGAAGAAAAATTCATATTTCCACTGCTATCATACCATTAATATGTTTAGTCCATTTATAAAACAAGGAGTGGTGTATTTGGGCTATTTATGAAATTATAACCTAAATTATAATACACAATTGATTAAATCTATCAGCTATTTTGAATTTGATACAATTAAAATTAATAGGAAGAATCTATAGTAAGTCATGTAAAGAGGTTAGGATCGGTACTTGGTAGAAAATAAACATTTCCTTATGCCCAAGGGGAATAACAAATATTAAAATAACTCAATGAATTACCTTTAACTTTAAAAAACTATATTTTTTTAAAAGAGCGATGGAAATTAACAATATACTCCAATTACCAACATCTAAGTACCTGTGGGAATAAAAAGCTTAGATGAATTACAAAATCAAAACAACAGCATTCCTTACAAGAGCTGTTCCAGGCCTAGAAGTCCCATGCCCCTGAAGTCTGTACCAGGGTCATGGCCTTGAAAACCCATGTCTGTCCAATGGGAACCAGTGATACTAGGAAGCTCAACTCCAACATTAAAGGCATCCCATAGCTGAGCATAGATGCAAAATATATAGTCTAGTGTTAAGTTTACATTTATCACAAAAGACTTAAATTTTTTCTATTTACATACTGAACAATAATCTAACTTTTCTTAAAATATATTTATTTTGAGATAGGGGTAATACATTTTAGTGCATTTAACCAACTGTAAATACTTCACATAAAAAGGCAAAATAATACATAGAATAGTACGTAGTTCCAATGAGAAAGTTCCAACAGTGTAGTAAAATGTAGTTCCATAGTCAAATAGCTTGGATGATTGGGCATTGGAAATCTAAGAACACAGTCTGGGCCCTAAGTTGGGATGGCCAGACTTTGCTAATGCATCAGGCCCCCTATCTCCACACAGCAGATGGATCAAAAGGAGACTTAAGGGGACCCACTCCTGAGGGTTCAAACTCAGAACTTTAGGGTTAGCAATCATGTGCTCACCCGTCAGACCAGTAAATGAGTGAGTAAATGTGGACAGATATTGAGCAATATTACAGGAATCAAGAAAGGAAAAAATTCTAAAGCCTGTTACCCAAAAGATAATTTTTTTTACACAAAACTGAAGCCAAAGTTTGAGTAAAATAAATATACAATGTAAAAAGTTTGCTGCTTAAATTGCTAGGCAAGTTACAGAAACCCAAATGCTGCAATAGGTTTTCTCCAAAACTCCTAATACAATTTTTATTTTAACACAGCTGTCATGACTTTTCTACATTTATATTGGGTACCCAATGGGTCTAGAGGTAATTATTTATAAATGTTTAAAATTGAAAATCTGATGTGATCACAATGTAGTTTATTGTGCCTATCAATTGACATTTTTTAAAACCATCTCTCACCTGTCTTAATTTTTTTTCATGGGATGGATTCTCAGATAAATACTTTTGTTTTCGTAACTCCTCTGCCTCTGCTATTATTTTATTATAAGCGTGAATACGGTGAAGAAAATGTTGCATAGTTGCTTCAAACCTGTGGTGAAGTAAGTTACAAAATATTTCAAATACACATGGTGCATAAAACAAAAATATGAAAACCTCCAGCTGTCTCAGTAAAAAAAATTTGTTAACATGTAACATTAATTCTTAAATTTTACTGTCGATTTAGTATGAGTCCACGAAAATAAATTACAATTATTATTTCATAATTAATAATAAAGTTGGGTCTATTATACATTGTCTTTGGAGTTGACGAATAGCAAATATATATTTTACTTAAATACTTACATTAAAATTTATTTTTATATGGGTAAATTGGTAAGTTAAATTAAAGAGAAGAATTCATTATTATTTCAAAACAGCTGAAATGAAAGATTATTATTAATTCTTAAACGTACTGTGAATGCACACCAGGAACCAACTTTTTAACTTCAAAAATTTTCTTCACTGCTTCACTGACATCAAAGTTTGTCTCACTGGAATACTGCCGTAGGATGAGGCTGTTGGAACATTTCAAGGAGCTTTCTGAAAATTGGTACCATCAACATATTATTACTTTTAGTAATCAGAGCTTAAATTTAGTTTATTATATTTATATCACAAATAGTAATTTAATTTATATAATGGTTCTTAGGACAAGTGAAATAGAGTATACTTGTTTCTTTGACCTCTGCATAGGATGGTAACACTATGCCCAGCCATTTTTACTTTCCCTAACATGAGTCAGGTACTCATCAAAGCTGGGTCAGCTTTAATTATAATGTTGGAATTTAGGGTTATCTTTAGCGTGAGGATTATTTGGGGAAGGGGGGTGTAATGTCCTAGACCCTAGTTGAACTTTCACAGTGCACAAAGTATTCAACAAATTTAACATCTACCATGTTATTTATTTCATACTCCAAAAAACTACTCACAATTCACATTAAGTACTGACACTGTTAACAATGTGATTTTTAAAAACTTTCACCTATGTGCATGATACGGGAAACGTGATCCAAGTTTTTATTGTAGCTGATACGCAATAGTTCACATTTCCCTGTGACTTGATGTAGAACCCATTTCAGCAATGGCCGTAAAATAAAAAAATAAATCTTTGTAGACCACTGACTCAACCAAACTGAAAACACTGAAAGAGAGAAACAAAATCACTGAAAATATATTTATGACATTTTTCTGTTACTAAAATTGCTCATTATTTAAATTTGATTGTATGTAAATCTATTTCCGAATGGAACCTAACAGTAACAACCTAGTAACAAGTAAAATGAAATGATCTTTAAACATGAAACATTTTGAGTATTTCACTTTTGTTAGGCCTGTCTGTACGGAGTATAGGCCTACATCACATCTTTATTAACTAGGCCCTTGCCTTATCATAATGGCCGCATTCGCGCGGTTTGCTTCGCATTACGCGTAAGGCCACTTTTGCGCGGTTAGCTCCATGTAACGCCGCGTTGCACTAAAGGTGGCACACGATCTAAAAAAAAACATATCAGGACTGCCCGAATTTTTTTCGTGGTAACAATTTAATGTTGACATAGCTCTCAAGATCTAGTTTAAGTGTATTTATATTATTTCAACACCTAAGAATCTAGATCTATTACTTGTAAAAAAAAACCAGTACAGTGTCAGTAGTGGGTCAGATGATAGTCCTAGATCCAGCAGCAATCTAGCTAAATCAAACACTTCAAACAGTCTGTGAGGGTGTCAGAATCTCAAAGAATACACAACCAACATGATTGAGGCTAGGTATCACAGTATCCTTTATTTCTCTTCAAAACGCGCCACCTCGTCCCACATCAACCTGTTTGCTTTCACTCCAACTTTCAACTGCCCCTCCCCCCCGCATTCATTCCTACACACCACCTTACTCTCGCTCACAACACATCCACTGTCACCCGACCAGTTGCTTCCCTTGTACCCTCGTTCGCTCCGTACAACAACATACACGTCAACACACTCGGCCTCGCGTCTCACTACATGATACATACACACACGCAGTGATCCGTTCCATGTATTCACCTTTCATACACATTACATCACCACACTGTCCTTTACTAAATTGTTTTAACAGCTATATAGCATGCATGATAGTAGATCTAAGTCCATATTATTTATCCTAAGTGAAGTAAAAAAAGTCTAAACCCCCCCCCCCCCCCCTGGAGAAAATAGTCTGGAAGAGACACTGACACGATTTCGTGAACTTGTGTTCATTCTATGACATGTGCTTTAGGCCTGTGCTGAACTCAGTGACCTCGTCGACCGTGGAATTTTCCACTCACAGGATAGTAATAGTAAGGCAAGCAAGCAATCTCACCAGGGACAATGTTTGGGAATTTTATTAAGCAAAAAAAGAATCATATGTCATATTAAAATGTAAAAATGACACTAGTACTGATCAGGGTCGAACTCGGAGCTCCGGGTCTATGAACCACAGTCTACAGCTGGCACATGGTTGACTCGACCACACAGAATGTGTTGGAGAAGGTAAAAGTAACTAAAAGTATAAGTAAGCATTTTTAATCAGAAGATGGGAAACCCAACCTGCTAGGCGCGTAGTCATTTCGTATTATAATAATACACAAACTGAAATAATTAGACCTAAATCTATAATTTAGTTAGGACTAGATCTAGAGTATTCTATAGACTACTCTAGTCTCAAAAATGTAGGGCCCAGAGGCCCTGATTAAAAAAAAAAAAAAAGATTAAAAAATCGGAAAAACCCATCACATCTCCAATAATAACAAAAAAAGATCTTCACTTTCGAACTGTCAAATCTTAGAAATTACAAATAGAGAGCTTCACAGATTCTAGATATATATCTAGTTAAGATACTAATTCTAAAAATGCGTAAAAACAAATTTCACTATACTTTTGTAGCATTTATTCTAGATAAACGAATCTAATTATACAGGGAGACAGTTCATGAAACAAAAATCACAACACATTAGACACGGATGTGAACCAAAAAGGAAATGAACTTTTTGTGTTGCCAAGAGAACGACCAATCACCTGCGGCATCGTCTCAGGTCTTATCGAGCTAACTACAGTTAACGCCTTTGGTTTCGTATAACATAATATTGACAAAATAAATTGTGTCACAAGTTATTGTCTTTGTGGCTTTATTATAAACTGTTTTGGCGTGTTTTGTTAATATACACGTTTTATATTGCTTAAAAGAACAGTGATTTTCTTTTATGTTAAGGAAAAGTTTCTGAATAATTTCATTTAGCTTGACCTTACAGCATGGGAAGATGGCGCGACTGGATATTTACACGACCCATAGAGTTCTAGATTTGTTTCAATTAATCCTTTTTTTACAGTCAATTCAACATTACACTTCATATGTAACTGCAATAGAAAGTCATAACCAAGGTATTTTAAGAAAAATATCATTTTTTAAATATCTCTTCTGTTAATACTCAGAACACACTTTACTTGATAAACAGTGAAAACACCATTTCTTTCTTTCCGTCTCTCCAATCAATCGATGCAAGCAGTAACCTAGTTATTTGCATTTATATTTGTAAACACAGTAGGCCATGGAAATCATCGAGATCTAGATTTTTTAGGTCTAGTTAGTAGTTAGGTACTAGTCTAGTAACAGGTCACACATATCTAGATCTACATCTCTAGTTAGGCTACAATAATACACTAAATTCTAAAATCACTAAGAAAACTGTTGTTGTGTTAGGCCTATCAAAATGATAAACTCATTTTGCTTTGAACTTATAGAACAGCTTTTATTACTAATAGAATAATAGACTTGTGAAAATAGAAGATACCAAACCAACATAATTTAACCTGGGGGAATTTTCTTACGAATGTGAATAGAATCTTCTTAAACTTAAAAAAAAAATTAAACATGGGATGTAGTTAAAGGCTAAGGTTAAGATAGAGCCTACTAGAATCTACTGGTAGTTAACTAAAATACACACATGGCTCTGCTAATGTCAATGCTAACCCCAATGGCAACACTAGTCCTACCATACTCCTAACCCTAATTTCTAACCATAAAGCTAGTCGAGATTACTATATGCCTACTAACTACTAACAACTCAACACACGTATTTTATGGAAAAGTCTATTACCAGACATTGATATTTAAAATCATCTGGTTAGCCTACTGGTAGCTTACTTAAATAACTAGCTAAGCATAAATAGAGAGTCTATACACTTACACAAATGGCCTGCTAATTAAGCTAATAATGCCAATGCTAACCCTAACTGGCTTAACCTCCCAACCTAGTGACCGTCATAGTCCTACCTTATGATAAAAGATGAAACTAGTCAAGATATCAATACTGCTAGCAACCTAACACCTATTTTCTTTATTTTTCAATCGTAAGATCATCAGTATAGGCCTACTCAATCACCTGATTTTTAAAGTTGAACTAAGAATCTACATCTTAGGGCATACTTGTTTTCCTTTTTGGTTCTACAGTTCAGTAGTGTTCATATAGGGCCTATAGGCCTAATTTTAAAAAATTGTATTAGGCCTTATTGCCTTCACTTTATTACACTCACTGACTACTGTACTATTGCTTTAATGTTTGTTAATGTAGCTCATCTCTTTTCTTTCCAGTCCTTTTTTAGCAAGCATACATTATCATTTGGTAGGCCTAACTGAGTTCAAACCAGTGAATTTAAAAGTAAATTTAGTATTAGTAGTCTTCTGCGCTAGGGCTATCTCAATGAATTTTTAAATTAAAGCCTCATTTAGCTGGTGCACACTGTTTCTCTCAAGAGTTTAAGTATTACACTCACTATCATTCCTCTCTAAATGTTTTAGCTTTTAGATCACAATCTAAAACTGTGAATTTCTCAAACTGAAAATAGATTCTGAATGATGCCATGATTATTGCTCAGCAAAAGAGTATTTAGTATTTTAGCTATATTTTTAATTTTAAGTAGATTAATGGATGATTTTTATTATCTCAAGTTTGTGTCATTAGTAGGTCTTGTGGATTTTATGTAATTATAATGTTGTTATATGCTAATTGAGCAAGACTTAGTCTAAAGAAAGAAAATGGGAAATTTCCTAGGCTGCACATGCAATAAACTCCAGCAGGAAATTCTAATATTTATACGAAGAAACTTCACCCCCTGCATGATTTTTTCTTGGTGGAATTTTAAAATAGACTCCTAAAATGGGAAGCAGAATTTCTCTTATAAAAATATATCTATGGGGGAAGTATTTTAGTCTGTGTTGTTGTTGTTAATGTAATGAGACATAAACAAACCTAATATATATATATTATATATAAGATGTAGACTATAGATGAGTCCATTGCCACATTCTGATTAAGTAAAGGTGAAAAGCTATTTTTATCATACCACCCTCATGTTTTGTTTGCCTACTCATACTCAGCCTATCTACTGTTAAAAGGGATTAATGCATAATTAATAATACATCGTTTGTAACTTATTTGTGCATAGAAATTGATCTATGTCTAATTGCTTTAAATTAGTTATTCTAGTTTAACTTGTCAGACTGTATACAGCCATTTAATCAGCATCTTTCATTAGTGGCTTCATAATTTCATTATGTTTTACATTATGAGGAAACACTTTTTTCCTGTGTTTACTAACCGATTCTCAGCTTGCATTTCTCTCATTAATGGTGTGATGAGTAGTTTTTCATATAATCCTAGCTCACTCCTGTGTAGTAATAAAAAGAAATTTGATACTAATATTCTTTTGTAATTTTCTCTTAGGAGCTAATTATGATAATCTAATTAAATGTTTGTGAACTCATAGACCAGTTATTATTGAATACCTTGTTTTTAAATTAATAGTTCTTTTTTTATGGTGCTGATTCAGGCTTTCAAATGTATTTAGGCCTTTTTTTTAAATCTGCTCTGCTGCGTGAATTATACTATCCCTTGGTTAAGTCTGTCATATCACCATTGCATCTTTTTCCTGGATACTTTGATATACCCATATCAGATGTCAAATATTTTTATAGTTTTATTTTAACCTGACTTATCAAGTTATCCATTGGATAACATGTCTTTCTTCTGATTTATGTTCAAGTCCTTTTAAATAAATATTTATGTGCCAGGATGGATTTTAAAATTTAATATAGTGAAATAAAAGTTTATGATATTTATGCAGCACCCAAGCAAAATTCGAATGATTGTGGAAGTATATTTTGTCTTCGACCAAATGTTGCTACATTTATTACTTCTCCTTTCCCCTCCCACCCCTTCCCCACTCTGTTGACTTCTGGACAGTTTTATGTAACTTAGCCACCTTTATTAATTTAAATACTGCTGGAGTTGGGTCTGCATAGGTTTAGAAAGCTCTCATTAACACCAGCTGCTACACCATCTCCTCTGTCAGCTTAGTGGAGGGGATTATTGTCACCTGGTTAGGTGCTCAGCCCAACCAATTCTCTAGCTGAAATGTGAAATTAATTGTAATTTGGGAGACCTGGTTGTGTTCAGTATTCACGTCAGCTGTTTACTGTCTATTCATACAACAAATGGCCTATTAGTTATCCTAATTACATGTTAAAAATATGTGTTAATAAATTAGTGTGCTCACTGCATGGTTGCCTTTCTCTCTATCTCTCTCCCTCCCTGCCCATTCCCCATTTTTAGCTTTAAATTAAATGAATCAGAAAATTTTTATATGTTAATTATTTTTTATATTAAGTAATAAAGCAACACTTTGAGGTGTCTGCAATGTGTTACATTTTAAACATACATAATTGTTTATCTATTGTATCACTGACACTCATTGCTCTTGTTTACAATAATACTAATAGTACATAAATGTAATAATATTAATTACTTTACAATTAAAGACTCATGCATCATAACATTTGATCTCATCACTTTTTGAGCTAAATAGAGCGCATAATATAATATTTAATTGCTGTACTAATTCCGTGATTTGATGTGCTATATACATACGTACCAGAGCATGTTGAAAAAATTTACATAAAAGTAATAAAACAAAAATAAATCTCATTAATTTTTAGCTAAATAGATTCTATCTAATTAGTTAATAAAATCCAGCAACAATAGCTTCTTTTTGGTTTTTGCACCATCATGTAGATGCAGTTCTCATTTTATCACATTTAGTTTATTTCTTATTCTAAAAAGTTTCTTATATTTGTTGCCTATGCCTATGTCATTCAGTGCCCTATTATTTCTGGATATTTTTTTCCTGAACATAACATATGCAAGATTTGCACCATGTTAGCAACTCCCACGCATAAAACCTCAGCTGTTACACCTAAAGACTACACAGTATAATGTCTTAAGCTACGGTCACCATATCACAGTAACTTTGTAAAGATGCAGCTTCATCAAGCTTGGTGTGTTGCAATCTTTAAGCAATGCTGTTCAATGTACATGATAATGTCCTACCTTTGTACTGGTTTCCCTACTTACCTACCCTTAAACTTGCTCAATTTCTAACCTGACATCCTTCTGTTTCATATTTTAACTTGTACAATCTGATTAAAGAGATTCAAAAGCTGTGTTTAGGCTTTTACCTAGACTGATTTGTGCACTTGAATAGTATAGAATAGTTACATTTTATAATACTAAAATTACTACAACCAGCCTTTACTAAGATGTTCACTCATTCAAGTTAAAAGTTAAGTATGAACGCTATAGCTATTTATGTTTTGTTTTTGCAGCATTTGTACAAACAGACAAGCAGTTGACATTTATAGTAGGAGATAGGTATATCAATCCTGGTGTTCCATTAGAAGTAAGTGCATAATTTTTTTCATTTTTTTATATTTTTTTATTTTTTTTTTTTATTTTTTTTTTGTGCTGCAATTTAATTATTTTTATTTTAAAAGTTAGTTTAATAAAATGATATTTTAGTGATGTATTTTTTTTTTTTTGTCTTGTTGGTGGATTTGTCTGTAAAGTGTAACAAACCTGTTCTGATATTCTGTCTAGTTGGTGGATTTGTAACTTGTTTTTGCCTTTTTTTGGTAGCTTATTTTATGACAACCTCTTGTACAAACTTTCCCTGTCTTAGTCTATAACAGCCTGTCATTGCTTTCTGTCTTGTTGGTGGTATCGTGTAAGCATGGTAGCTAAGGCTACTTGAGTTTCAATTTCAGTTCTTTTCATGATGGAAAAATGATATGTATGCTTGACAATTATTGATTATTTAGGCAAGTAGGCTGTTCTGGTTAGCTGTATTTCAGTAATGAATAATATTGTGCACTTTATTTTTTAATATCTGCCGTTTTTAAAAAGGTGCCCTGAGCACATTAATGAAGGATTTACAGCCATTAATTTAACTAAAAACCCAGATTACCTTAAATTGCCCATGTTTTGATGAATAAAACTTATAAGAGCAGCTAGTATATGACTAATATGACATTGTCATGGAATATCAATTATCATGCCATTGTTTGAAAATTTTAAAAATATTTATCTAGTCAAGTAGACCTACAAGTAAGAAAGATTTTATTCCTATTACATTTCATTTAGGTTAGAAAAAGGTGTTTTAATTTCAAAAATCTATTTTCTTTAAGCTTGTCATTACATTTTAAACAACCTTTACCTGCTTTTTTTTTTAATTTGCAGATAAAACCTGCCTCACAAGATTTAACGTAAGTCATTACCTGTCCTTGGTGCACACATTTAGCTTTATATCTACAGTTTTAAAATGAACTGATTAAAGGTTAAAATTGTGTGAAGCTTTGCCTTTTTTTTTAATATGTGGTGAGGTGTATGCAAAGTAGAGCTTTTTTATTTGTGTACATAAGCAAAACCAGTATTTGGTAGGTGATAATATATTCTCAAAATTTGCTGTTAAAGAAATTGCATCACTTTGTAACAACATATTCATCTAATTAATATTAACTTTGCCACATGGAAAAATCAATTTAAAAAACCAAATAATCTGGTCAGAATCATCGTGCTCTCGCCTATCACTGTTTTCATAACCTTCTCTCTGCAACCAACCGCCTATGCATTATTCATGAGTCGTTAAATGTTTATACAGAGATAATGATAGTTAGAATATGTTTACAACTCAGTTTAATGTTTTGAAGTTATATATGGGCATAAAAGTTAGAAAGTTTTAGTTTTTAATTGCTAATCGTGTGCAGAATGATTTAAAGATAGTAAAATATTTATACGCCTTACTCTTAGACTGTATGGCTAAAAAATGAATGTAAGAACAGAATAGTTAAAATCTTGGTAAAGGAAGTGGATTCTAAAATAAAAGCCATTTTGCCTTTGATCCTAAAAACTAGGAAATAGATCAGCTTTGTGTGTCACATTGTGACTCATCCATTTGTTAAAATATTATAAGAAATAATGAGAATTTTTTTTTATTTTAGTGGAGTATTAAGTGTACACAATAATTCTCTAAATTTGTTGAAATGTAGACATACTCACTGAGATAAGGAAGTAGATTTTTTTTTTGGATGATGGATTCACGCTAGTCATTGTTAATGTCATTTTGCACTTTCTACTCATAATCCCTATTTAGTTTCTTTATATTAAAAAATTTATATTTGTAACCAACAACTCTTTCTGCTCCTAAATCACATGTTATTCCATATATTGTGGCTAATTTTTATTAAAAAATCAAGTATTTTGGTTTCGAATGCTATTATCAACATTAATACTAATAGTTTCGCTGTCTCTCTATCTATCTATCTATCTATCTATCTATCTATCTGTCTGACAAGAACGCTCTAGAGAAAACACAAGGAAATTAAAAACATGCATAGTAATTCGAAAAACGAAGTATGACGTCGACACATTTAGCATAGAGTAGAAAATAATCTCAAACCCAGAGAGTGCACACAGTTATATGACGTCATTGATTATCGAGTAAACATTAAATACAAAGGCAATTTGGTCTAATCTAAGTGGTTTGCGTGAAGAAATTCTTTCATACAATTCTTCGAGTAGGGGTGAAGCCCCACCCCCTCGTAAGAACGTCTGAGCCCCCCCCCCCTCCCCAACTCAAAAGAAATTTCCTCATCGATACTCTATAATAAAATTACCGCCTAATTAATGTGTCTAATCTAAAAAGTGGTTTTCTTGCAATTTCTTTAATGCAATTCTTCGCGTAGTGGCTATGCGCGACACCAGTGTTTCTTTCAGACTTTTTCCTCCACGGAGAGGGGTGAGGGTACTTGAAATTTTCGGGGGCGGGGGTAGAATTTTCGGGGAGGGGGCGGACACTGGAAAAAGTATATAATTATATTTCGTTAAATGGGACGGTAGACATGTTTTTTTTGGGGGGGGGGGGGGCGGTGTGTGGGGGTGGGGTGGGGGTGGTGTGTGGGGGGGTGGGTTGGTTTTAGTTTAGAGAAAAGAGACAGCACTATCAACCTAGCGCCCGGTGTATCCTTCCTCAACGGGCCATTTTTCTCGTTGTTAATAAGAGCACTATTTTAAAATACTTCAATCTTTCTAGGCCTTAAATAATCTGGTAGTTTAAAAATACTGCTTGGGTTTTAAAAAAACTTAAGAGGGTAGATGGGGTAGACTTGAGAATGTTATGTAGAATTATTTAGAGGTTCAAGGCATTTTTGATAAGTTGGGTGTTTTTCAGTTTCTCTAATAAAAATTTTACTTGGGTTGGGAGTGGAAAATTGTAGGATTTTGTGCATTACATGCAGTGTGTCTTTCATCTCAAGTAAGTCTTACATTGCACATAAACAAAGTAGATTAGCAGTCAAGCTAAATTGAACACCATTCTTACTGTATAGAAAGGAGAGTGAAATGGAGGGGGGGTGTACCATAATAAGGCTCACTATTCACACTCAGCTTTGTATCTTGTATGCAAACTGCGTCACAGCCTATAGGGAGTGTCATATTTTGCAGGGCTGGTAGTTTAGATTCTGAAATGCTTTTAACCTATGCCACTTGTAACATTTGTCAGAACAACATACTTGTACCAACAAGTTTTGTTTTCAGTTTTTGTCAACTCCTCAACAGCAAGTTTTAACTTGTTGGAGTACATTTATTTCTCTTAGTAGTATTCCTCTTTTGTTGATGTAAAAAAAAAGTAATGAAAAATGTATTGCATATTGTTGTTTTTAAAAGCCCATTATTGACCAGGGTGGGAAGCATTGGTAATCAATATCATGTTTTGTTGTGACTCAATCAGGCGGTGCCTGTGATGATTTAGTCATGAGGATAAATGTTAAAGCATGCTTGCAATGCTACACAGTAACACTTGAGCTAGCAAGTAGAAATGTTTGCTTTCAATTTGTTGTTACTTATATGCTGTTGTTGGTGATAAACATACATTGTATGAAGGCTATTTTTTTTGCTCAAGCTCATCCTGTTGTTAGTCGCATAGAGCTAGCTAATGCAGCAGCCTTATGTGTGTTTGTCACCAGATTAATCTAATCATTTGTTATCTCTAATAAACACAGCTTGAAAATATATTTTCCTAATCAGTTAGTTAAAACCTTAAGTGGGTCTTCACATAGTGAAGTGTGTTTTCGTCTTAAATGAGATTAACTTCCCCCATGTATAATACAATTGTTTTCCCTTTTCTACTGTGCAGTTGTTCAAGTCTCATTATTTTAACTTACATACTAAATTTTTTTTATAATTTGCTTCTGGTATTGAAATGTTCCTACACAAATATCATTAACAAATAACTAAAGTATTAAAAAATAATGGATTTTTTTGTTTTTTAAATGCTTCATTTCTCTATTGATCCTATCTTATTTATTATTGCCTCTTTGTTCTTTTTTTAAACTATTCTTTAATGGAAACATCTGGCTTTTGTCAAGTGTAATACTATTCTATAAACTTTTGGGGGAGGGGGGTACTAAAGTACTGAGGGCCAAGCACTACATATATATATATATATATATATATATATATATATATATATATATATATATATATATATATATATATTGTACATAAATACAGATTCTTACATACCACTTATCATCCAAAATCATTGTATTTTAATTCCTTATGGGCATCAATTTATCTAGTCGTGATTTTCCCCTTTCTAAATTGCCATGACTATATGTATGCATATTTTATATATGTTTTACTTTTTTTTTTAAATAGATTTCAAGATGATAGTTTTTACTCTAACAATATTAGTCTGGATCCTCCTATGCTTGATTTTCAAGAGCAGTAAGTTTCATAAAACATTTTATCTTTAAGATTTTAATTTATCTAGAGTTTTCTTTATTTAAAATTATGTGTATCAAATTAACTATTTTTTCATCAACAGGCCAGTGGGGATGCCGCGTTTGGAAAAAGTTATTGTACAAAATAATGATCCAAAACATAACTTGCATCTCTTGTCCATTTCGGGCAGTACAGTTCATTTTCATTGCTCATTTTTTCAAGATAAAGTAAGTCTTGTATTCATAACCTTTCATACCACAATATTTTAATATACTTAATTGAGTAAATTAAGACGAAAATAAGTTTTTACCTTTTTTTTTATCTTCTAAATCAGCTTTGAGCAGTTTTTAACAACAGGCCTTTGGTTTTTTTAATCCACACTTGGTGATAATCTTAAAGCTTTGAAATTACAAAGGCTTGAAAATACTCTTCTAATAAACTTTTCCTTTGTATACAGATTGTCCCACCTGGGGGTAATACAAGTTTTGATGTCGTTTTTCTTGCCCGTCAGGTGGGCAATGTGGAAAACACATTATTCATTCATACCTCCATAGGTTCCAGACGATATCAGGTTTGTTTTTATTAAATCAATCACCATGTTAATTTGTGAAGCAGAAAATGTTATTTTTGTTCCTTGTTTTAAAATTTAATTGCATTAAAGTTGTGCTATTTTTTTACAGTTAAATTTGATCATTCTATATTTGTTTCTTCTTCTAACAGGTTTTTGGAGTTGGCACTCCAAATCCGTATCGCCTGCGGCCATACTTAGGTGCACGGGTCCCTATAAATAGTAGTTTTACACCCGTTATACAGATGCATAATCCATATAGCACCAGACTACAGGTAGTCATTTAATTCTTTTATTTAGCCTATGTATAAACACCCTTAACAAATGGGCTTAAAACTGTTGTGTTTCTGGTTAGATTTTGCAGCATATTGTTTTCTATCTAGGTGCTGGAAATGTTTGCTAGTGAGGGAGATCTACATTTAGAGTTGCCATCTGGAGAAAGGGAGGCATCTCAAGAGTTATGGGTAAGTGTGCATTGTATTTGTAAAATACAGAAAGATAACTAAGTTGTGTAATAATGAGAAAAACTTTTGTTGTGTCTGCTGTAAAATGAATTGTTAAGAATTTTGTAAGAATTAAAACCATTATCTAATGAAGATAAATACATTTCTTGTATTATTTTTTGTAGGAATTAAAACCTTTTGAAACAAAGGCTGTTATGAAAGCCAATTTTATTGGTCGTGTAGAAAGCAATCATTCAGCCTTCATACGCATTAAAACAAATAAAGAAAATAAAGGGAGAGATCCACCAGAATTACTAATTTTACCTCTTGAGATTGAAGTTTCTTCAGGTATCATATTTCATCTTTTTTTTTTTTGTGATATTGAATATACTTTGCATATATATTTTATTAGCACATTATAAAATTTAGTAAATTATACATTAATTTTTAACCTAATATTTTGTATTTATTTATTCTTTTTTTTTAGATCCAGGCATATACTCTCCAGTGGAACTTTTAGATTTTGGCATTTTAAGGACTTTAGATGAGCCAAAAAATTTACGCCTTAATCTCATAAATACAGGGCCGAAAGCAGTTCACATAACAGTAAGGCCTGCTCTCTTCACTTCACTAATGATGCAAGCTTGCATATTTTAAATATTTGTAATTTCTTAAAAAGGTTTCTGTTTGTTGAATGTTTGCCTGATTGCTTACAAGTTTGTTGTATTTTACAGAGTGTAAATGTTTCCCCGCCTAATGATGCTGTTAGTGTGGATTTCCGTCCTTTTAAGTTACAGCCAGATAGTAGTAGGCCTACAACAGTAGCTCAAATTACTTTTAAAGGTAAGTTCTGTCTTTTAGTTTTATTTCCTAGAATTTAATTATTCAACTATAACATTTTTATTTATTTTTTTATCTAAACTTTAAGCTAGTTAATCTCAATGTCTTCATACAATTTTGAAAATCTTCTTACAATAACTGTTGGTTATGGAGAGGGGATGATATGTTTACCAAACATATACTAATGGATTTACATTTAGTTGACTCTGCTGTAGTTGTTTTATGAGTTAAAAGTTGTGTTTACATGTGTATTCTTTTTTGTTAGCGGTGAAAGCTGCCCACCCCAAACAGTGTACAGGAAAAATAGTGATTAAAACAAAAAATAACATACAAAGATTGGTCATTCCATATCAGGCCAATGTATTACATGGGTAAGTTTTGTTCATGCCATGGGTTAGTGCACTTCAACCATGTATAAAACTATCAGTCAGTTTGAAAAGTTAATAGAAATTTCAGATGCTATTTAATTAATGTGAAGCACTTATAACTGAATCTGTTTCTGTATTAAAAAGCATTAAAAACCAATACAAATGTAATTTTTTTTGTTTGTTTCAGGTCTCTTGTTTACAATGCCAACAGTACACATTTTTTTAGTGCTAAAGCTCTGTGGAATGTCACCAGACCTTTGATATTTACCAACACATTTAACTTCTCAGTAGTTATCTATAATGTCACCTTGCCACCTGATGTTTCACATTATTTTACTGTAAGTCTGTGTGATTGTTACTTTTTTTAAAGTTATTTTTTAAAGACATTTTCAAGTTATTATATTTTAAAAACTAACCCTTGTAAGTAAAAAATCCCAAAATACTATTTTTTTAGTACCTCATCATGTTCTCAGTGTTATGAATGTCAAAGTGGAGGGTCATTTACAATTAACTTGAAAAAATTGATTTGCCGTAACAATTTGTATTATTGTGCACCTTAATTTCAACTACTCTTCAGTTTGTTTTGTTGGCTGACATAATTTTCTTTTCATCGCTCAGATTGTAAACTTCAGCAAACCTGTGATACTTGGACCACAACAGAGCGTAGCAGCTTTTATGATTAAGTTTCACCCAAATCAAACACAGATACATTTTAATACTGTGCTTACACTCAGCACGAACGCTTCCACCTTCATCATTCCAATTATAGTTTATAATGGCCTAATGAAGGTGAGATATAACTTACTTTCTTTTTTTAAACACAATCATTTCATTTAGAAATTTAAAGTATCAAGTTTGTTAAATTATTTTTAAAGCTTTTTCTTTGTGAAGTAGTTTTGAGGAATATTTTGGTGGGGGTAAATTATTATATTTTTTTTGCTTGAATTTATATTTTAAAGTTATATTGTTTGTATCTAAACAGGTGATTCACCATAGACCAGAGAAATTTGAAGGTCAGCTAGATTTTGGTACTCTAGGTGTTGGGGAGTGCCGGAGTATGATTTTTACCATCCGTAATGATAACCCAGTTGATGTAAGTACTTGTATTAGACTTTTTAAAATAATGCTCTTTTTTTTGTGTGGGTGGACTTTGTACGGGTGCCGGTGGTAAATAGGATGGGGAGGTGTGGCAGATAAATTCTTTTGTCAATTAATTGAACTATTGGCGTTGTGTTGAATGGAAAACTGAGTTATATCCTGATCATTATTTTAATGATTAAAGTGATTTGACAAATATCAATTTTTAGAAGGGGTGGGCAAAAGTTGGCTTCTGATAAGAGTATGTTCAGAGGTTAGGGAATATGGGATTTGAATATTAATGATCATGGTGGTGGTGGTGGTAGAGAGGTTAGGGGTGGCTTAGTGCAGCAAACAGACCATTTGCCAACTGGAAAAAAAATCTATAAAAAAAATTTTTTTTTTTACTTTTACAGATAGTAGTTGCACGCTTTCAAACTAATATGTCATGGGCATCAGTTGAAATATTAGGGATGGAGAAGGGTAATGGTACTACCCTTACTCGAAAGCATAATCAGTCAGAAATCAATACAGACCCTGTAAGTACACATGATCACAACAGAGCGGTATCAGTGTTAGTGTTAATATTATGTGTTGATATCTTGACAAACAGCTATAGTAAATGGATGTTTTCTTATATGTCACTGACAGCTTAAAATGTATACCTATTTTGTAGAATGTACATTAATAAGCAAACATAAGAGGTATTAATTTAACTTGTCCTTAAATTATTGACAATATGCAGGGTATAAATAATTACTTGGACATTTTTGTGTGTTCCTTTGTAAGATACTTTTTAAAGCATGAAAAAAATCTTATTTATTTGAAACTGTTTCAAAATGCTTAATTTAATATTTTATATGCCCTCCCCAGTTGTATATTAAGCCTTATCACTATGCAGTGTTTAATGTAAGCATTGTCGCACCTGAAGAAGAAGGGGCGTATGTAGCAGACATTTGGATGTTCACACAGTTCCAGGACCTTTTTATACCCATTATTTTTCGAGCTGCTAAAGGCAGCCTCCATGCCATTCCAGACAAGTTTCTATTCGATCAAGTATATCCAGTAAGTCTTTGTTTTTTGTTTAGTCTTTATACAATCTACACTTTATGGCAACAATTTCTTTCTATGTTAGTTTTCAACAGCAATATTTTGTCTATAAATTTTATTTCATTATATTTTTTTTTAAATGATGAAGTATTTAACTATTGTTTAGTGTTGAAAGATATATTAATGACAGTGATTTGTGTTTAGGGTCGAGTGCCATACAAAGTTCTCCAGATACACAGCACATTTGATGATTATATGGAAGTCACACAGGTCACCTTCCAGCCTGCTGATACAAGATTTTATTTTATTCCTCAAAACAGCAACACTGTTTTATTGAAACCTCATGAACATAGTATTGTAAGTAGATTCAGTTTTTTGGCTTAGGTTTTTTTCCTTTTAGGTAGATAAGATTTACCTTATCTTGGGTTGACTAAAGTAACCTGTATGTGATTTTATACTTGTGTTTAAACTGTTATTCAAATTTCCTAGAAACCATTGGCTTTTTTAAAATAATTTTGAAATTGACATACTCTTGATTTTTTTTTTTAAACAGGTAGGAAAAATTTATTTTGATGCAAAAAGAGATTGCAAAGATGATTGTTATGTGGGGCTGCCAACTTTATCACCAGGTAAGTCTTAGGTCTTAGTTCTGCAATTAAATGTTTGATTGCATCCTTGATTCCATCAACCACGGCAATGAAACTGACTGTTTAAAATATCACATTTATTAAATGAGGACATGGTATTATAGCTTCTGTATTAGATTATTTCAAATATATATGACTCTAATATATTTTGTTTTTTTACTTGAATAGCTGGCCACCAGTGGCTTTTAGGAATGGTGTTAGATAAAGATGTGGCTGACACAGATCAATATCTTTATACTAAATTGCAGCAAAAATGGGAAAAATTGGATAGCTTACAGCAAAATATGTGAGTAGAATATTTCTTTTTCTGCTCAATGCTTTATTTTATATGGTTATAATGCCTGTGGCATGTAATATTAACAGAGATAATAAATCTTTTTTTTTTCTGTATAAGTATTTCCTTTTCCTGTAACTAATTATACATAATTTTCTTTTTAGAGCCAATGTTACCATTGAATTGGATACAAACCATGTCAGGGGTTTTTTATTTTCTGCTCAAGCACACCTACAATGGCCATCTTTAATCAGAAAGTCAAGAATTAAATACCCTCTTACACAGATTGGAAATTTGTCTGTAAGTAACTTACAGATAATAATACAATTTGTATAAACATTTTGTATTTGAACTTGGTAATTTTTTACTGATTTTTGCTTAGTTCACAATTGTGTCAAATCTTTTTTACTCAACTTTTGCAGAAATTTAGTTTAAACTTCCCAGATACATATATCTCATACGACTAATTAAGAATATCTCATTTTTAATCTAATCTATCTATAAAATTAATTTAAAGATAACAGTATTCAATTACAGTTCCCTTTTGATACTCCATACACATTTTAGTGACTAATGCTTATACCATATACCAAAGAGAAAGTATACTTTGTTTTCTTATCTTGAGTGCATTTAAAAGCTCATTTTTTATACTGTATCTTTCTTCTGATAATTGTAACTGTCTTCCTTGTAGGTATCAGACTTTATAGTTGAAAATAATGGTGATGAACCAGTCCTGGTGCAAATCCTTCCTCTCTCTTATTATCCCAGCCCACACACTATTATTGATCTGTTAACACAAAGGTAACATATGAGCATCTAATTCATTAGTTGTTGTCACTTGTGTGTTATCCATGTTCCTTTATCAAGATAATTTGACTGAAAATGAATTACTTTAACATACTTTAATTTCTCTGGTTAGGTTTTCTCAAGATTTAACAGATTTTCTGGAAAGTGATGAAACTAATACATTTATTCTTTATGATCTCGAATCATATGGGGTGAGTACTTATTCTGTTTGATCATTTTTTGGGGTTCTGTGTAGTTTTAATTTTTTGTTTAAATTAGTTTTGTGTTCTACAGCATTATGTGGCTTTGTTTGGCTTTAGTATTTATTTACCAAACATTTTTTGTAGCCGTTTGTTTTTAAACTAAGATCTTGCTTCAATTACTTTATCTCTCAACCTGAAGATTATCAGATATAGTTTTAATCAAGTATAGGCGTGTTTTTTAATAAATGTTTTCCATTAGAATAATTTGTACATTGATCTCTTCTTTGTTTTTTTCTTCAGAAAAGCAGCACCACTGCCACAAATTTAGCGCAGCATAGAAAAGTTGTAGAGAGTGTGCTGGGAGTCATCCCCCACAAGCAAACATTAGCTGCCATACTACAACCTGGCAACAAAATTAAAGTTAAAGTGGGGTTTCAGCCCAAGGATGATCTTGCCAGGTCTTCTCTCATAGTCGTTAGGTAAGTGTGCTATATAAATACTAAATAAATAGGACTATACAGCTGTTGTTATGGAATGATGTGGTCAGGTGGTAGAGTACTTGACTACTAACACGTAAGTCTCAAGTTTGGATCTCAATCCAGACTTAAGTCTGCAAGACATCCTTGAGTCCACAGAGCTCTTAAAGGTAGCTGACTCAGGTTAGGAAAAGTGTCTGCATAGTGCTGACCACACCATCCTGAAAGGATATGCAGAGGTCTTTATTTTATAGAACTGTTTTCTTTAAGTCTTAAAAATACATTTCATAAGGGGACAGTCGTAAATGAGGTTCCCATTGAGAAAGGGTCAAAAAGTCAACTTTGGCAAACAGATTCTTTTTTAGCATTTTTATAACTATTACAATGAAAAGAATAATTAGCATCGCAAGGTACACATCCAAATAAATGTTACTGAATCAGTGTAATTGGAGTTGGTTTTTTATGGCTCTGTAAATTTGGGGGGGGGGGGGGGTCTTAAAATTTACACTTTTTTTTGTGGACAAAGTATTTAGTTTATTTAAAGACATCATATATGACTGGCCCCAACTCTTGGTTTAAATAAGTATAATACACTCATCATATATTACATTATTTATTATGTAATATTCCAGAAACAATCTAACCATCATTGATGCTGTAGTTGTACAAGGTCAAGGTCGTAAGGGTGAAATGAGATTCAACAATAAAAAGCCTGGATCCCATTCAGCCTTAACTTTTGAATTAACAGAAAAACATTTAAAAAATTGTGATAGTGAGTGATGTTTTGATAGTATAATAGAGAATTTCTCTATTTGTTTTATTTTTAAAATTATTTCTATTTTATCCTTTAACACTTACTTAATAGCTTTGAGTGTAGACATCTTATACAAATAACTCTTTTTTTTTTTTAGTTTCAGAAAAAAAGAATAAAAATATAATGCCAAACTTTACAGTGCGCCGACCTTTTACTTTAAGAAATTCAGGCGAATTACCCTTTTATATCCATGGTTTTAGTATAAATGAATTGCCATGTGAAGGTTACGGATTCAAAGTCTTTGATTGCTCTGGATTTGAAATGTTACCAAATTCAAGTCGTAAAATCAACATAGCGTAAGTTTTACATACCTTCAGTCTAAATTTTGTTGAGATGAACTTGATCATAATTTTTTAATTGCTTTTTATTTTATTTGGAACTTATATTTATTTCTTACAAGATTTTTTGTTTTTATATTTTCAGTTTCACTCCAGACTTTACCATGTCACAAATCCAGCGCATGTTAACTATACATACCAGCCTTGGACCACCGGCTAATGAGGCCAATTATTCACTACAAGCTATGGTCCCTTATGACTTACTATCACAGTGCTCAGCAGCTTTACCACGACCAACCTGGGAGCCGTTGCTTTACTACTTTGTTGTTGTCATGATGGGATTCATCATTTGCTGTATTGTAGTCTTAGCATATTTTGAATCTGACAGAGTTATGGCTGATTATATCCGTAAGAAATTGAAAGCCAATAACGGAACACCCACATTTGAGAAAGGAAAAATATTTGATTTGAGAAATGTTGGTGCATTAGTTGCCACGTCTGCACCGAGCTCTACAAACAACCCAGTCGGCAAAAATACATTGTCTGTGACAGGTCATAATTACGGCCGCCCGTCTCAGTTGACCAACGGCCATATTGATCCTGACCGAGGCAGTGTCACTCACCAGTATGACCACCTCAGCATCTTAAATTCACAGTCCTTACAACCCAAAACAAACAATTTAAACAGCAGCAAATCTTCAAAGCGATCTCTTTTAGGCAGCCTTACAAAGTCTTTTTCGTTTTTAAATTACTTTAGCTCGCCCAGAAAGCCTTTAGCTTTGCAGGACAAACCTGCCATGAAAGACTCGGGAACTTCCCCACCAAGCCCAGTACAGAAGCCCACGGCCACTGTGTCAGCTCTGAGACCAGAGCCTCATGTGAACAACTCTAGTCAAGAGCCATTGATTCTTCCAGAGAAATCCATTCCCATGAATTCAAATTTTACTTCCCGGACCCGTAAAGGCAAAATCAACCATAGACGTCAGATTGTGGTAGATGCCTCTGGTGATACTAATAATGATTCTAATTATAAAAAAGCAAAAGATACAAAAGAGACATCCCCATCAGAAGCAGGAGTCATAAAGAGGAATAATACCAACTCAATGATAGATGATTTTGATGATGTTCAAATTAAATATTCTTCATTTGAAGATATTGATGATACAGACGACTGTGAGCTCAAGACCGACTTAGTCAAAAATGGTCAGTATATTTTATTTAAAATATTGCTGTATAATGCTGTTTTAAATTTACATTGATTTTACCAAAAAAAAATCTTTGAAATTAAGCATGTTAAAGAAAATGTAATGAATGTTTTTCTATCTCTTCAGTCAACAAGAGAATGAGTGGGAAAAGTAATAAAACAAAGGGCAAAGTGGAAAACAATAAGGAAACACTACTGCTACATCGTGACAACTCACTTGCCGATGATGGGGATGATGTGTCATCTACCACCACAGAATCTTCTGCTGGTGATGTTGAGGACAAAGTATGGGCAGTTATACCTGATATTTCTCTGTCCTCTCTCCCATCTCAAGTATGCACCTTTTATCTTGTAATTTTTATGTTTTGAAGAGCTCTGTTGGACAAGAAAGTACAGATATAACAACCACCTCAGTTGGTAGCACCAGGAAGTGGAAAAAAGGCAGTAACAAACACACTGAGAGGATTGTTGTAGCTACCCATGGTGGGGAGATGATAGATGATGATTCCAATTTTGAAGTGACTTCCAAATCTAAAGCCCACAGAAAAATCAGAGTCAATAAGGAAACCTTTGGTGGCGATATCATGATACCCAGGTGTGTTATCTTGTATAATTAATAAGTTCTTAGTGGATTACTTATAGAACACATTTTTGTTTGAGTTGACAAACCTTTGGTTGAGAAATCACACCCAGGTATGAGTGTTGTCTTAAATTTTTTTTTTTAAATATTTAGTGATTAACTTAAAAAACAAAATTCTTGAATGAATTAATGCACTATTTTGATAGCCTGACTTCCCAAAGGGACTTAAGTTTTGACCCAACCTTCTAAAGAAAAAAGATTCTTAGTCTCTCAAACTACTCCCAGTGGGCACTCATATTTTTTTTTTCTTCCCGTTGTAGTACAATCGAGCTGCCCTACTGCTTACCAAAAGAAAAGGAAAAGGCCGAAACAGATTCTTCCAAGCGAGCCAAGAAAGCAAAGAAAACACCCAAGGTCAAAGGTAAGCCTGGTTAAAGTGTTCCTGCTTTTAGTTGTATCCCTTGTATAATCACTAACTTCTATTTGAGATAATAGCCTTGGCATGTTAGTGTCTAAATGAGCAGAAGTTTCCAAACTTACTAAGTAAGCTTACAATACTAATAAATCTGTTGAGTATTGAACTAATTTTTGGAAATTTCTGAATTATTATTTTTTTGTAACTGCATGAGACACTGATAATTGTGTTACATAGTGTAGGTAGTATTTTACTTTGATGTTAAAATGTAGTTGTTGTTTTATTTTATTTAATAACTACTAGATTCTCTTTGCTCATTATACTTACTGAAAACTTTTATGTAAGCTAAAACAGGTTCCATGGAGAAATATTTTATCAGTTCTTTTTCCAATCAGACCTGTTCATTAGTTGGTATCATTTAAATTGACCACTTTATTTATTGTCATTAATTAATTGTTAATTATCCAGAAATGTCACAGCAAAAAAAAAGTATTTTTTTACTGAATGATAAATTGATTTTCATTGGTATACGTTTTACTAGTTGTGATTTTTCTAACAATTTCAGGCATTTTGCTGGCTTACTTTTTAGTTAATGTTTTTTTTTTGGTGTCGTTCTTTTTTTTTTCTTTATTCGCCATTCTTTTATTAGGTTTGTCCCCTTCCAATTTTTACTCATTGGATACAGCAGATGGCTTGTCTGACACAGGCAGAGAGTCGCCTCCCCCAATTTGGGACCAACAATGCCTGTCTGGCCTTGACCTTGTTCCGGGTTAGCCAAGCTTTTTTTTTTATTTAACCTACCCCTAATACTTTGCTTCTCATTTTGATCACATTGCAAAGAAGAGGGTTGCAATACTCTGAAAAAAAAACCTTAATTCTTTTCTTTCTCCTCTGAGGTCTTGATATTTTGGTTGACTTTTAGACTGAAACTTAATAAGGGAAACCACAAGTTCACAAAAAGTTTTTTTAACTAAATAGTGATTTTTTTGTACACAGCTTTATGTTCTTGTTGAATTAAATAGTAATTTTTAAAGTTAACCTTATTAATTTCATTTCTAGACTTAGATATGTGGAAGAGATTATGAGCAGGCGACCACAATTGTTCAATATTAATATCAAATCACATACATTTTTATGGTGTATATTAAACTTTTTTTTATTTGAAAAGGTTTAAAAAAAATTTTTTTTCACCACCTGATTAACTAATTTTGTAACAAATAATTTTAAAAAATGTTTTTAACACATTTTTAATTCTTTTTTTTTTCATTTATTAACCTTTTCAGGCTTGGGGTAATTTATAGTTCAAATTGAAATACACTTTTTAAAAAATTTATTCTGTTACAAGAATTCACCCAAGGTGATCCCATTCAAATAAGTTGTAATTTGTGTTGTTTTTTTCCCTTAATTCTTTTTGGCCCTATTTAGGTTTGTTTTCACTTCTTTTTCCTTCCTAAATAGTTATCAGTTGTTTTTTTTCCTTAGCCTGTCTTATCTAACGGTTGAGTTCTCTCTGCAGCTGGACAGGAGCTTAAAAAATAAATTTGAATAGTAAATTTTCTTACGCCTTAGATACCTATCTTTTTTAAGTGAATGTGTTATCTCTTGATTATATTTCATCCAACAGCTCATTTATGTATTCAATTAAAGTTATCAGGTTGTGTTAGGTTAGCATTACAAATGTTGACCATGCATATTTCCTACACCTAAAAGCATGTTCTGTTAATTTATACCCTTTCCTTAAAAACAATGTTCTTTGCTAACCAAAACAAATTAGACAACTGATTTTGTGAAAAGAAATTAGATATTTCCTTTTCTTCTTTCAACTTTCTTAAGAGTTAACACACAAAGTCTGGGATATTTTTTTATACATTTTAAAACAAAGTAATTTAATTGAAAATAAATAAATATTGTAATTTGAAAAGTAAAAGTTTTTTAAATTACACACCTGTAAATTTCTAATATATTACTTTTTACTTAAAGTAATTATTTAGATCATATGTTGATTAATTGTGTGTTGACTGCTTTATTTACCAAGAAATTACATATAGCCACCCGCAATTTTTCTGTTTCCCACGTTTTAAAATTTGATTTCCTACCTAAGATTTGCTTAGTCAGTACAACTTGCCACAAATCAACTTAAATTACCGTTTGTTCTGTGCGGCATGATTTTCTTCATTTTATTACATGTCTAGCGCATGTTAACAAAGCTAATACTGCTAATTTTTTCAAACTATATTGTATTGTAAGATGACTTCTCTTCACAGACCTTATGCAAATTATAGTTTTGGTGATGGTAATTATTTTTTTAATTATTTCTGAATTTAATTCTAAAATTTGAATTTTCGTTTTGTAAAATAATTTTTTTTAAAATTTTAATATTTTCTGTTATGGATGATGAATTAAAAAAATATTGAAACTAATTTCAGGCAATCTGAGTGAATTGTCCCTACAGACGGAAAACTTTGCTCAGAAATACTCCCGTACAGGAGGTGCTATCTCTCAAAGCCTGGCTACAACCCCTACTGTAAATCCTGTGTCTAGTGGAAGCCCGTTCTCGTCTGATCGTCTCTCCACAAGCAATCGCTCTGGTAGCTACAGCAGCATAGTCAGTAGCTCAAATAACACAAACCTCACAGACCCTCGCTGCCGCACAGTACAAGGGAACCCGCTTCAGTCTGATAGCTCAAGAATGGCTTCATCTGGCTTTGGACTTTTCACAGACAATGGCTTGTCTGGGATAATGACCCCAAGTATGTCAATTTTAATGCTTTTTTTAATTGGGGGATGCATCACAGAATGCAAAGGAAGGGGAGAGAAAAATAGCAAAAGAACATGACATTTGCTATTTGTATACCACTTTTTAGGAAACATTTTCAGTTAACGTATGGGTGTGACAGGGATACATAATAGAAGTAATTTGAAAATGTGTGGATTTTCTCATTCCAAATGCTTAAGTAAGATTTTTTTATTCTATTAAACTGTTGCCATCAAAGATTTTATTATATTTCTAGGTCCAGTTTCAAATAAAGCTAGCCTGGGCTCATGGAATGCCAGTCCTTCACAAGTCACTTTCCATGATCACAGGTAACACTGTTGGTCTAATAATTTGATTTTTTAATTTATCACTGCGAATTCCTTATGACAGTATAATTAACATTTGCTTTTATGGCTTTTTTTTTACAATGCAGCACACCTTATGGACTTGAGCCGCTCGCTGAATGTAACAATATGCCTGGATTTGGTCTCCCGGCGCCTAGGGTTATTGGAGGTTATGGTTATGAAACCACTGGTTAGTCCTGGTTGTTGTCACTGTGTATTGTTGTATTTGATTCAGCTGTGCATGTCTGCCACCAGACGTCACCACCAGATTCCAGGGCCGACCCTAACTGTCTTGTCTAGGACTTTTAGGAACTTTGTACTTTTGACATGCTATATAAAACATCAGGGTCACAACAGGGTCTCATCTCTGAAAGTCTGAGCTTGAGATAGTAAACGTGATCTACAGTCTTCTTTTTTATGTGATATCAAGTTTATTTAACTTTAATGCACTTTTTTTTACTGATCTAGATGCGTAATTTCACTTTAAAATTTGTGTTCATTATATCTGTAATATAAGAAATGATATACTATAAATATCAATTAAGACTACTTATTAACCATTTTTTTCACTGTAAAATATGTGCTTATTTTTTTTTAAATTGATTTGCAGATCCCCTATACACTTCCATGTATGGAGGAGGAAATGTACATGATAGCTTAAACCAGCCCCAGTTGACCATGATGCAACAACTACAGGTGGAGAGGCGAAGACGATTTTGGGAACACCAGCAAAAAGTAAACAAAGGTAAAGGTTTTAGTCTTACCTACGCCTATGCCTTTCGTTGGTTTTTTTTTTTTTCATGTATCTCGATCAATTTTCTTTTTGCTCAGGCTAAGCAGAGCATATTAAACTCATTATTAAAACTTCGAAAACATTCATTTTTTTTTTCAAATTCTTTATTTAAAAGAAAAGTATAGAACTGTAATGTTTCTTTCTCTTATTGATGAACCATAGTTTGTAAACATCAAGTATCTACATTTTATTCTGTAACTTTTCTTTTATCATATGTTTCCAGGTGAGGATTGGCCTGGCTTTAGTACACCTCTGATAAGGAATGACAGTTTGTGGGACAATGATTATAGCCCAATGGAGAACACATGGTCAACTGCTGTCGATTCAACCCCTTCTGGAAATGTATGTTTAATTTTTTGTTTACTACTTTTTAAGTGTTAAATTATTTCTAGTTTCTGAACCAATAGATGCAATATATATTAAACCATAATACTAAAGCTTGTTATAAGTGACAATTCTTTTGTGGACATAATAAGTGTATGTATTTCAAGGAGTCATTTCAGCTCTTGTATGTCAATGAGTTACAGAGCTTCAGGGTTTTAAAGTTAGTGTAAAAATGCAAAATTGAGAATCTTAATAAAAGAAAAATAAACATTTTAGTGTTCTCCATTAAAGCTAAAATCATTTATTAAATAAAAGCAATGAATTAATAACCTACAGTCTGAAATTTTTGTGGACGTCATACATGAATGAGCCCTTACTTAAAACTTAGGTTACAAAGAGCTTTTGTAGATACTTACTTTGCGCTTGGATAATAACTACACCTTAGATAAATTCTACACTTATGGTAAGCCTGCAAAAGATCCAGTGAGCTTTAAATTACAAGTATTCATCCAAGCATGAACATCACAACTGTTAAGCAAGGTTAAATCTAATGGGAATTATAGGCCTATACATTTTAATTTAAATGTTATACTTGTTTAAGAAAAATATTTTATAAAAAAGTTGTACTACACGAACGATATTAATGATAAAGCAAAGAAATAACCGAATAGCTAAAAATCTGACTCATTTAAAATAACATAATCTACCAATACCTATTAGAAAACCAAATTATATACCTTATTAGTCAACACAACACAATATTAAATGCACACAATGATTAAGAGAATAGATCTAAATCAAATTTGAATGAAATAGTTCATTTCTTCATATTCTAAAATTGGAAGATGACACCATTCGTTTTGTGTACTTTCCCTAGTTGTGACATCATTGTTTTTTGCATTCTTGTCACAACAATAAACACTTGGCAATAAACACTTGGATAAAAAAAAATGTGTTTCTACATTCAAATATGCCTTTATTTTTATTTTCCTTCTTTAAATAAAATTTAGTTACACATTTAAAGCATCCAACACATTAATATCAATAAAAGTCTGTATCTTTTAGTTCTTCATATATCGCTGAACACATAGATCACTTAGCCTCAAAAATGTTGCGGACAGAGAGAGAGAAGTGCGCACATGGGCTTTTATATATTAGGATTATATTTTTACTATCAAAATATGAGCAGATTTTTAAAAAATAGAGAAAGGAGATATTTCTACAGAAAAATGGTATTTTCTGGGCCTTAAATTGTATGTTTCTGCAAGTTCATGGACAGGTTTTATACCCTACAATATATTACATGACATGCATTCACCAAAAGAAGATTGCTTTTAGCATTATTATTTGCTTTTTTTGTTGCTTGCTAGGTACAAGCATAAACCACCTCATATTGAATTCAGTAACTGGACAAGAGATATAATGTTTGTTTTGTTTTAAAACAGGGTTTTTGGAGTACACTGACCAACTCAGCTTCAAGTGGATGGTCATCACTACAATCTCTGGCAAACATCTGGGGCAGCACACCACAAGCAGAGCATGCGCCAGCAGGTCATGGAGGATTCAGCCCTTTAACAACTGCACCAGCTTCAGTTAACCCTCAGGTGACTGATCCCAGTTTTCATCTAAATCTAGTGTTATTCTCCCCTTTAGTACATGTATTGTGCTACCTGCTTTGTTCTAATATTGTTGTTCCTTACAAGATGGTGTACTAGTTTGATACTTATTAATTGAATTGAATAATGGAGTGGTGGGTAAAATCATCATACAAACCTATATTTTAACAGAGCAAAAATGTTTTTGAGAAATAAATTATTTATTGTGTCATATTTGTTCAACATTATTCCCTTCCCCCATCATATATTAGCACATCCTTATGATGTGAGCTCATTTGACCCCTTATGAAGTTTAAAACATTATTTTACATTAACTTGGGTTTCAATAAATGTTAACAATTGTTTATATTTAGATTAACAGTGCACAATTTAACCTTTTCACTTGTATGACTGACTCACAGATAAATTCTTGTTAACAAATGCTTCTTCCTTAATTTAGATGAACAACAGCCCACCATTTAACCCTTACACCTCTATAGAAATTCTTAACAAATGTTTATTCCTTAATTTAGATGAACAGCCCACCACTTAACCCCTTCACCTCTAGAGAAATTCTTGTTAACAAATGTTTCTTCCTTACTTTAGATCAGGGGTCTCCAAACTTTTCAGTCCGAGGGCCGCATTAACTATCAAATTTCAGTTCGGGGGCCAGTTTCTTCCAGGCATGTCATTGATTTTTCTGAGCAAAGTTCCTCAGCCATCACCAACAAACGATTTTTTCCTTGGACAAAAAGATCTCTGCGGGCCGGATGAGAGGACTTCGCGGGCCGCATCCGGCCCGCGGGCCGTAGTTTGGAGACCCCTGCTTTAGATGAACAACAGCCCACCATTTAACCCCTTCACCTCTAGAAAAATTCTTAACAAATGTTTCTTCCTTACTTTAGATGAACAACAGCCCACCATTTAACCCCTTCACCTCTAGAGAAATTCTTGTTAACAAATGTTTCTTCCTTACTTTAGATGAACAACAGCCCACCATTTAACCCCTTCACCTCTAGAGAAATTCTCATTAACAAATGTTTCTTCCTTACTTTAGATGAACAACAGCCCACCATTTAACCCCTTCACCTCTAGAGAAATTCTCGTTAACAAATGTTTCTTCCTTACTTTAGATGATCAACAGCCCACCATTTAACCCCTTCACCTCTAGAGAAATTCTTGTTAACAAATGTTTATTCCTTACTTTAGATGAACAACAGCCCACCATTTAACCCCTTCACCTCTAGAGAAATTCTCGTTAACAAATGTTTCTTCCTTACTTTAGATGAACAACAGCCCACCATTTAACCCCTTCACCTCTAGAGAAATTCTTGTTAACAAATGTTTCTTCCTTACTTTAGATGAACAACAGCCCACCATTTAACCCCTTCACCTCTATGGCTGACATCTGGAGCCCCACATCCCAGTCTGGCTCAGTCAACAACCTGGGGATGCAGATGGGACCTGGAGGTGTGGCACAGTCTCAGTGGAACCCACTCACATCAAATCCTAACTTGCCACCTTCCCATAAGGAGGAATAAACATACCAATGTGTGAAAAAACAACTCATATTTCTATGCTATGTGCATCACATACAATCTGTGAAATTAAAGAAAAAGTACATTTTTTTCTCTACAGTACCTGTTAAAAGATCAGTTGGTTATAAAATTAGTGTTTTAAGTAAAAGTTTTCAAATAATAAAATAGTTTGTATGGAACTGTACAAATAGGGTACAATATTAGCTCCCTCTTTTTTAAGTATTACAGATATAGCTGTATATTTCAGTCCTAAACTAAAAAGCTTGATAATTTTTTAAAATAAAATACTACATCAGGTTGATTTTTAAACATGGTTGACATCTCATTTCTTTCCAGATTATAAATAAAAGCTTTTTTCCTCTCACAAGTTGTGTATGTTTGTATATATATATTCTTTATCTGTCTTTTAGGTTAAAAAAAAACCTGTTAATTTTTTTTTTTAATCAAAACCTTCAATATACTTTTCAGTTAGAAAAAAAAATTGAAGATGATTGTATATATATTCTATTTTTTTATCTTTTATAGTACAAATGTGTTTTAATCAAGTTAGTCTGTGATACTGAGTCAACTCACCGTTTAATTTTTTCAGCATTTTCCAACTTTTAAATAATTTTTAATTCTCTTTGTGAAAAGAGTAATCCAAAGATAAGAGAAGATTTTCAAATAGAAGTTTTTAGCAAACCATGCATTTTTTAAAATCTGTTTAAAATTCTGTTGACAAATAATTGAAAATTTAGAGTAAGAAGCTAGTGTGGAAAAAATTGATTTTTATTCCCCAGATTAATAATAAATGTTAGTCACAAGTTGAATCTCATAGATATCATTCTGTTGACTTAAATTCTTGTTACGGACATGTTTCCAACTTGTGTTTATCAATACAAGTAGGCCTACCCACCGTAGTATTGGTCTAAAGTCTTTATTTCAAACAATTTTTCTGTTTGATTGCATTACCTTGATATTCTGGATGTATTGCCAGATGTTTTAGGGTCAATAATTTGTTTTTCTATCCAGTTGTGTTTAGGGTTGAAAAGTTTGAAATTATGTTTAGAAATTCTGATCATTGGATAGTGGTTATGTCTAACAATGTCATGTCAATCATGTTTTATTTTCACATACCAGATTCTTTTGATGGCGTATAGTGTTGTATTCAAATTGTAATTTCACACATTGCCCTCTGCCTCCCCTTGAACTGACTTATACACATGCAGAAATGTATGCCACTCTATATATTTTTCTTAACTACCATATATTCAAATAATCTTGAAGCTGTTTAATTATTCAAAGGCATTGCTATACAGAATGTCTTGAACCGGTTTTCATTTCAAGTTAACTGACCCTTAACCCCTCAGCTGTAGTGGTTGATTGAGATGTTGACGCAGGTTAATTGTTCTCTCAGCCAGTGCTCCTGAATGTGAGGAAACCAACCAATTCTGACTTGGCTTATATTATGTTAAGCTACACACTCTGAAGTAAACAAAACTACCCAGAATAGAGCAGTATACCAGCAGCAGTGAGGTTTTTTATTTAACTATTTGGAGACAAAATCCAGTTTTCATGATCTCCTTCGAAACAAATTATCAAAGTGTTGTCTGTGAACCCACTAGCTAAAAGCTCTGCTGCCTAACCCAATGCTGAACTCAGCTGCTTTTTTTTTTTTTTTAAATCTTTCAATAAAATTTTTAAAATTTTATTGTTGGAGTAATGCAATACTCGTTAATATTTACTTTTCATCTAATTTGTCAACAAGGCAGCTCTTATTACGTAAGTTAGTTTGATATTGTAAATGAAAAAAGAAATCTAGTGCCCTACCAAATTTGACTTGATTTGGTTTAGATGTTTGTATTATACTTGTTCTCAGTTTTATTAATTTCATTCATCATTTGGATCTGTATGTCATGCAATCAGACTTGCAATTTTTCTTCAAAAAAAAAAAAATTTTTTTTTTTTAGTTTTCTTTTAATTAGGAAAAAATAATTAGTCTGAATCTGAAACTTTAAATCTATCTTAATTTTATTTTTTCATCAATATGCAATGTCTTATTGCTGCGTGGTAAGGTTTGCTTTGGGACTTAAAATTACTTTGAATTATTACTGCAGTTGTCAAAGTATGACAAAACCTTTTTTTTTGTTCATTAATGGTTGATTGTAAAGATCAGTTTACAATTATTACCACCTAATCTGGAAACATCCAGGAAAATAACCTGGCTATTAAAAAAATCTGGAATAGTTAGAGTATCCAAGTATCTGCTACATACAGCTACTAATAAATGAAAATGTTTTTAATGCATATCTGGTGTTTTGAGTTTTATTTGACAGATGTTTGGGAGTGTTTATAGTGAGACACTCGGGTTAAAGGTTAACCATAAAGATAATGTCTGATAATATAATATAGCTTTTAAGCTTAACCCAAATCAGCTTAATATTTATTAAGCCCATGTGTCTGGACAATGCCTCTTAATATACAGTTTTTAATTTTCTTCATATAAATTAGGTCAGTGGTTCCCAACCTTTTTCGAGTGGCGACCCCCTATTATAAAAAGTAAGTGACCTGCGACCCCCATAGAATTAAAAAGCCGAAACTAGTATGGAAATTAATAAGCACTAAAATAAGATTTTCTAGTAGACTTTCGATATGAACTACTCTTGATAACTGTTTTAATAGCATGAGTAAAATTGCATACTATTCACTAAACCTTCGTGGTTAAGTTTTTAATTTTAAAAAATTGTTAACGCCAACCTATGTCATTATAATTATCTTAATTTTGTTTTTTATCGAAGAATAGTGTTGAAAATATATTCTCGAAAAGTCAATCAATTTTACGTTTGTGTATGAATGGTGAATACTACACCAAAATTGTGTCTCAGTTTTTCATCTTACTCGGAATCATTCTGCAAATCAAAGAATTCATCTTGTAATTCATCGGGAATGCTGGCAACATCAAGGGAAGAAGAGAATGGGTAATGCGTAAATGCAGATTCTTCTTTTTTCAGCTCAGAGAAATAGCGATGCAGTTCGTTTTCAAGAGATTCAAGATGCCCAGAAATCGCTTCTTTCAAAATTTTAATTATCTCACAATCAGTTTCATCTACCACACCGCAGAGTTTCTCAAATTTACAATATTTCCAAGATTTATTTTCTTTACCGATTTTGCAGCTTTGATAAAAATGCCCAGAGATTATCATGGAAAGTTATAATATTCGTTCATTTTCCCTGAAGCTTCAGGTTAAGCTTATCTTGATGTTCGAACACATCTGCTAGGTATGATACTCTCTCCAACCACTCTATGTCGTTTTAAGTATACCAAAAAGTCTTGTTTCCTTCCAAGAACAATTTGATTTCAGATTTCAATTCAAAAACACAATTTACAACATTTCGTTTGACAGCCAGCATACTGTAGTGTAGAAGAGCAGAACCTCGTGATCTATATTAATGTTTTTGCTCAGTTCTTTGAAGGCTCCAGATTTTATATAATTTACGACTTATACTAGCAATGGACTCTTGATGTCGATTGGTTAGGGCAGTGGTTATGGAGCTAAATCTTTTCTGTTTTCTGAAAGCCCGATTTTGAGCTAAACATAGATGGCGTTCCATCCGTACAAAACCCCACAGCCGTTCTAACCCATTTTAATCACCCAGTTTCAAAAAAGGTATTTATTTTCTCCATGCTATCTTCACAAAAGAGCAACTCTTCTTTGCTTTCATCCGCATGAATATAGACACAGACCAGCAAATGCGAACACGAACTCACGTCTGTTGATTTATCAACTTGAATAGCAAACAATGGTGAAAGCTTAATTTCAATAAAAATGTGTTATTTAACATGTACGTAGGCTACATGCAGCGTTTGATGAGATTTTCTCCTATTGTTTTTTTTTTTTTTTGCTTGGCATTTTCTATCGCGACTTCATTTGATGCTTGCACTAATGCTGGTGAAAACTTCCTGTTCGATCAAGTCTCTGGCGTTTGCTACTAGCTTCTTACCGACGAAAGAACTCCATATATTTTTTGGTGTTTCCGAATGACTCGTCTCAAAAGACGTTTTAGTTTTGAAGATTTCATAGATTCGTGACTGTGTACAACTTTGTACAGTGCGCTTTGTTTCTTCTCTATTACATTTCCAGTGATGTTAATAAAGCCGAATTTCAAAAATTCTTCTAAATATTTATGTTTTGTTTCAAATTACTAAGGTTTAGTATACCAGTTGGCGACACCCCAGAAAGACCTTCGCGACCCCCAGGTTGGGAACCCGTGAATTAGGTAAAAGATGCCTACCAACATAATTATTAACAGAAATAAAACTGACATATTCTACTGAGGCTGAAATAATTATGATAAATAAATCTGAAATTTTCCACTGAGACTGACATAATTTTTAACATTACACCAACAAATCTCTAGAGACAGCTCAAGATGTCTACTGAGGTGGGAAAAGATCTGAAACTCCTCCTGGGGGAAATGAAGAACCTGATACTGATATCTGGCCACCGGGAGGATAACAATTATTTTGATGAGAAATTTAAAGCACAGACTGAAAGGGAACCTGCCCTGAAGGTTGCACATAAGCCCAAACCTGCTGCACTAGATCTTGAGGTTTGTAAAACTAAACTTAAACCATGTTGCAAGTGAATGCTTCTTCTGATACCACATTTGTGTAAACAGGGACGAAAAAATTTATTTGTTAAAAACATTTTTTTTGTTAAACTTCCAATAAAAAATGTATTGATTGTTTTTACAAAATCAAGCTAACTTTTTTTTGTTTATGTCTGTATTAAGAAAAATCTATCATTTAATGTATGTGTAGGGACTATGTGGTACAGTGGGTAGAGCTGTTGACCTCTAACCTTCCATTCAGGGTCCAAATTATACATTCCCCATCCCCTTCTATTTCTATTGAAAACAAACTAAGAAATAAGACACTAACTAAGAAAACAATAACTAAGAAATTCACAAAATAAAAAAGAAATCTGACAACAGTTTTAATTTTTGAATTTTTTTTTAGATGTTATGAGAAGCCATGTGATGGAACAGGCAAAAATAGTTTGTTATTTCAATGGGTCAGGCCATGAGCTCATTTTTGCAATTGGTCAGGCTGACATACAGGAGGGGGTGGAATTTATCTAGTGGCGACGCTTTTTTGCCGGAGGTGAAGTACGTGAAGTACTTTCATCCTGGTTGGACTCCGCAAAACTCCTTCGACCCAGGCAGACTTTGTAGTTGCTTGTATGACTAAGCGCGAAGGTCGCTGGGTGCTCGCGAAGAGCTTCTTCTTCTAGTGCTACCTCAATAGCAGACAAGACACCGTCCACACAATCTTGATAAGATGCAAACCAATCGTGGCTAAAGTAATAGTCAATCAGTTGTTCAGCCGAGGACCCATTAGGGTATTGTTGGTGACGGATTGTTTTCAGCAAGTGGTTAATGCTCATCCTTTGTGATCGATCGTTATTTCTCTCAAAGTTCTTGCACTTGGAACAGGATGAGCCTCGCCTTGCACCTCTTGCCTCGTATGTGGCTGGGTAGGTGACCAGCATGTCCTCTTCTAAGGCAACATCTATTGCCGACTGGACTGCTTTTAAGCTTTCACCGTAAGACCCGAACCAGCCATGTGTTTCATAGTGTACAGCAAGTTCCTCATACGAGGACCCGTGCACATGGCCCTGTCGTCTGATTGTAGACAGCAAGTGATTCACACTCATCCTCAGTCTTTTTTTGTTCGCACCGGAAGCCATACCCTAATTGGAAAAATAAAAGATATGACAAACCTACTAAAAAATTAAAAAACTAGAAAAAACTAGATCTATCTAGATGGAAGGATACAACTGGCGCTAGGTTGATAGTGCTGTCTATTTTCTCTAAACTAAAACCAATCCCCCCCCCCACAACATGTCTACCGTCCATTCAATGAAATATAATATATAATATAATAGGCCTAATTAAAATTTTAAATAGGTCCATATATTATATAATAGATTTATGTATTGCTCTACAGTCTACACTAATTTAAATTTGTAAAATTTTATGGGGGAATGTTTACAGTCTACACTAATTTAAATTTGTAAAATTTTATGGGGGAATGTTTACACCGGTGTCTAATAATGGAATCTTTAAAAAAGGGGTGTTAGCAGTGTTAGGTTACTGGTGGATAACTAAATGCACACATGGCTGGCTAATGTCAATGTTAACCCTTTCCCTAACCCAACCATACGCCTAACCCTAATTTCTAACCATAAAATAAGTCGAGATTACAATACTAGTAATAACCCAACACCCCTTTTTAACAGAAGATTCCAAATTTAGAATATTGAATGTGCTAGATCTGTTTAAAAAGTTAAGAAAACACTAGATCTAGATTAGGTCTAGATCTAGATCTACTTATTTTTATTAATGTGATTTTTAATTAGATCTAGAAAATGTAAAAAAAAAAACATAAAAAAGCATTAGAACTGTTCCAATTAAATATCGTGTGATCGTCAGCTGGAGAAAAATCCTTACATGGTCGAGGGTTCACCGTGAGTTCACATTGACTTTAATTAATTATAAGCATACGTCATAGCTCGGGCAATAGCTGTTTGAAATGGACACCAGCGAGAAAAGTCTCAAAGGTATTTGAGAGGTGTATAAATTCATTAAAAAATCATGCACAGCGTATTTACAATTAATATGGCTATAAAATCCTGCCTGTCTGGTTTTTTTCGGACTTTACTAAAGATTGGATGTATTGATGTTTATAATATTTTCGGTAACTAAATAAAAATTAAAAAAAAAGCAAAAACAATTTGGTTTTCACGTGTAATGGCGACATAAACATGGCATCCTGCTATTGGATAGGCTGCCATAGATTTTATTGTACACATTGTAAGCTAAAAATAGAAAACTAGGTCATGGGGGTTTTAAATTTGCATGTTATTTAAAAACTTGATCTGCAAAGTTTTGTAAACAAATAGTTATCGATCACTAAGTTACTGTACAGCCAATCAATATTTGTCTTACGAAAGTGAAACATCCGGTTATAACTTAGGCTTGATGAAAATAAATAGAAATGTAGCCTTAAACACAACAAATTATTTTCAAGTTCTCTGGATTTGCAACTTTTATAGCATTTATTCTAAGAATATAAAATTTCTAAATTAATTTTAGGCTTAAGTTTTTATTTTTTATTTTTTTTTACGGTCTAAATCTAAAAAAACACGTTTTTATTCCATGACAACAACATTATGGAAGGAATCTCGTCATCTCGCTCGCCTCCATTGTGTTGGCCTCAGTTTTGGGGTGTTTCGGTTGTGTTACGCTCAACTGGATGTGAACGTGAAGCGGGGGAATTAAGTTTTACCTAAAAAAAAAAAACTAACCGAAGTCGGTAGACCAACCAGCAACGTTCCTAGATAAGGTCTCTGTTTCTGGTATATTTTCTAAATTGTTTAAAAAACGTTTGGCTTCTCTACTTCTAGCCTACATTCAAGCGGATGTTATGACCAAACCGTTAATCGTGTCGAAGGCCTAGCCCGCAGTGGAGAATCGGGAGTGCCGAAATGTTAGTATTGTCCGTATTTGCGAAACGTTTTTTGCGATTTAAAAAATTAGATATTGATTAGGACTAGATCTATAGTTATAAACTTTTTTTTTGTAAAATCACGATATAGCGTCCTTTATTATTCCGGAATAGTACAGCAGTAAAAAACAGTAAAACCATGGCGTAGTCTGCCGAGTCGCTCCGGAAACCACCAAAAATACTGTAAACCATCATTTATTTGCCGCCATATTATTTTCAATACATATTGCTTATTAATTTTAGTTGCATTTTAAATATTGTTTTGCAAATAAATTATTTTGCATTTCTAATGATTTTAAGTGTATATGCTAATTTTTGCTGCTACTAAACATTGTTATAGTTCTTCTTACTACCTTTAATGTATTAGTAAATCTAATCGTCTTATTTTACTAGATCTCGATCTAGAATAGTTGTTGCAATTAGTTGCAAATCTTCTGCAAGTTTTTTTTCTGTTTCTTAAAAAAATAATTACTACACTCGATTTTATTAATAGTATTTAGATTTACTAATTTTCTGTCAATTAATCTTTAAATTAAGTTAAAACATTAATTTAATGCACATGAATTTATTTTTAATGTCAACGGTCAAATAAACTATATTTTACGGTAATGAATGTTTACGAAACAAAAAATAAAAAAATCACCGGATAATTTACTCCGCTATTTCGTGATTTTACCTTGTTTTTTTTTAGCGCAATTTCGTGTAGAGAGAAACGAAACTACTTGTGTTGCATTAATTGGCTAAATATATGATTTATCTCGATTTAAAATTGTTATGGATAACATAAGGAAATTGCGCTTAAATTGTCACTAGACTTTTAATTAACTTGTTTTTCAATTATTTTTTTTTATATGTTTATAATAAAGTTGCCTATCGGGACTAGGCGGGACACGGGCAGGTGAAGTAGAGTTCACCTGTATCTGACTTTTTAGCCTATGAAGGGATAGTGTGGTCAGACCCATGTGTTTTTAAAAGACAAAAACAACATAACTACCATTGAATAGTCGGGTTTTTAAAAGACAAAAACAACAGAACTACCATTGAACAGCCGGGTTTTTAAAAGACAAAAACATCAGAACTACCATTGAACAACCGGGTTTTTAAAGAAATCTTTTAAGTCTCTTAATCAGCTAGTGCATTTAATATGTTAATAGTTACCGATGAAGAAATGAGCTATTTCATGTAAATCTTTAGTTCTATTCATAAAAACCTAATAAAAATAAATAACTTTAAAAACAAGAAGAACACCGTGGAATAGCCGAGTTTTTTAACGGAATCAGTTAAGTCACTTAATCAGTGTTTGCCTGTGTTAGTGATATATAAATTTATACAATTTTCCTCGGGCTAAACTTAAAAAAAAATTCTATTAGGATTCTAAATCTAGGTGTAATAGATTGAGTTAATTGTGAGGTCAAGGGAACTCACTCTCTGTATTAGTATTATGGTAAAATCTTAGTTTAGCGTCGTAAATTCCAACTTAGCTAGTAATGTGCGATGAAGGTAACTAATGAATATTTCTTTCATTTGGCCATATTTATGTCAGATTTTACATAATATAACAGATAATTGAATACCAAATCACAATCCAAGACCAAACCAGTCATAAATATCCTGGAATAAACTTTAAACTACCCCGTTCGAGACAACAATGAGTAAATATAAGCAGCGGCCATGTTTTAAAAACAATAAATTGTCTATTCGCATGTCTTTTGTGTTGATTTTGTGGTTTAATATGATTGTTTTGTATTGTTTTAATATATGCCGGGGGTCGTCCATAAATGACGTCACACTCGTAGGGGGGAGGGGGCCCGTAATTTTGTGACGTTGTGGGGGAGGGGGAGGGGTTCAGACGGTGCGACATCACACTTTTGCATTTTAAAAAAGCAATGTTACAAAACGAATTTTAGACGTTATTTTGCGTTTTAAAAAACTGTTTTAATACATTGTAATAACAATTGATTAAAATACTCTATTTTGACAGAGTTCAGACAAGATTTTGGAAAAATATAGCTGCTAAAAAAAAATTCAACTGCAATTTTGAGGGGGGGGGGGTGTAGGCTGAGGTGTGACGTCATTTTAGGGGGGGGGTCTGGCTTTTTGTGACTACGTTTGACGGAGGGGAGGGGGGGGAGGTAAAAATCGTCAAAAAAAGCGTGACATCATTTATGGATGACCCCCTGTATAGTAATTTTTCTTTTTTTAAAAATATAGTTGACATGAATGACTAATAGACCATATCAGACTTAATAGTGTGCATCCAAGACCACAACAATTGTTGGGAGGTCGAACTTTTTAACACTTTATTTGCAGTAAGCAAATCAATATTAGATCGCTCATAAATGACGTCGCTCGGTGATAGTAATGACAGCGTGCATTATTACAGAGCAAACATATGAACATATTGTTTCAGATAGAAATTGTGATTTGTGGTGGGGAGAGGTTGAGTAGAACTCAGCGATGTGATTTTGGAGACTGGTCAGGTTTTTTTTCTCGTGAAAACGGGATGGTTGTGGGAGAAAGACCAGCTGTAGAATTATGACGCGTCATTCATTGGTGATCCATTTTCTCAGTGGGGACGAAAAACTATTAAGAAAGGTCAAGAAATGTCAAAAGCTTGCCGAGTCGCATTTCTTGAACCCTACCTTTTTCATTCCCCCACTTAGCACATCGTCACCGAGTTAACGCTCGCACGTGACGTCATGTAGCGGTACCGCCGACCGTTAGGCTAATTTTATAGAAAAAAAAACAATAAGCACTGCCTTTTTGACGCTTTCGCGACGTTTAGTTTGATTACATAAGTTGGTGTTCATTAAACAGCCCCTAACACATCTATCACTCGTCCATTTAAACGTACGTAGTTATTTCTGCAAGCTTTCGGCCCTTTAAAAATGTATTAAGCTCACACCGTATAGAACTAGACTACCCATATTAAGCTCCTAAAGAAGCTTGGTGAAAACAGGATGGCCGTCCGATTTTGTAGCTGCTCTGCGCTTTTTAAAAACCACAATAAACGATAAGATGACACTTATATTAAAGTAAATTATAGTTCTGAATCTTGATACATTAAAAGTGATATTCGGAAATTAAGAGCCAGACCAGACAGTCAACATATTTCAATTTAAGTCCAATAAATTAAATTTCCTCAAACGATGGAGCATTACTAAATTTTCGCGCAGTTTAGCGAAATTGAATTTAAGTATTTACGTCATCTTACAAAGCGCGATAGCTTACTGGTGCTCTAACGTGGCCCATGCTAATGGCCGTATTCCTAACGCCCCGCATTAGACACGGCTTATTCCTCGGCAGGCATTTGGTGGCAAGCCTTTTTGACGGGGATAATGTGTTGCGGACGTTTTGCCGAATGTCTTAAACTAGCAGGCTTGCAACATTTGTGTTTTAAGCAAGGTATACGTATACTAATGCTTATTTATCGTTATTTTGATTGAACAAAGCATTATAGAGGTTCTCCATCAATCACCTAGGTATTTTTCCCCGTTCACTTCCTTTCATGAGACCGACACGTCATAAATTGCAAAGCCGCCTGAGTTGACGTCACAAATCTTCACTCACTCCCGTAGCAAATCATATGTACATCATTTATGGACAACCCCATATCACTCACTTGTGTACTTGATATTGACGATTTGACAACAAAGGATAACCAAAATGTGTCTGGCAGGTGGAGACTTGGGATCGACCATAATGACAACACGCGCTTAAGGGGTGGACGGGCTCATTGTTTTAGATGATGTTTTACGAGGGAAGCTGGTGGATAATACATTTGGTCTCTTTGTATATGTAAATGATGACAAACATTTAATGTTGTCAAAATTATGGTTAGAGATCTTAGATAAGGCAGAGTGAAGCGTAATTTTTTACATTATGACTTGTTGTGACATTGACGACAAAAATATGACGGAGGTTGGGGTTTAATTAAGGTAAAGAGAAGTAAAAAAAAAATGTCACAAGTTACGATAGAATTACTAACTGATGAAAAGAAAAACCTGAAATGAAAATAGTGAACATTCAAACAATAAGACAAAACTCACAACTATTTAGTAATAGTAAGATCAGGAGGGGGGCGGGGGGGGGGGGACATATGTCCCCGGGCGCCGACCTTAGGGGGCGCCAAAATGGGTTGGAAAAATAAATTGAAAGGTTGAGGGGAGTGCAAATTGAAAGTTTAAGGGGGGTGCAAATCGAAATCTCGAGGGGGGGTGCAAATCGAAAAGTTTGTCCCGGGAAGGGTCGCTACGCCTCTGAGTAAGAAAAAACGTGATTTAATACATGGATACAAGTTGCATCTCACAATGCTTCTAGAATTAATAAAGTTGTTTGTTAGGAAATTCACATTTTAAAAAATGCTTTGTAATACGGACTATACAACAAGACGATCATATTTAAATACATTTTCATATGAATAGAAATGAAAGGGAAGCTACTCTCAATAACATTTTCTTAAGATGGCTGCTGTTTTTAATAGCAAATTTACTATCTCGAACAGGGTTGATAAAAATTAATTTCAGGATATTTAAATTGATTTAACCATCAATGGTGATCTATTATTCAATTATTTATAATATTTAATTAAAATATACGAAAATATACTCATATTTAATGACATATTCATTAATTCACTCTCTCCCACATTACTAGTTTTGGCCGAATTTACGACGCTAAACTAAGATTTTACCAGTATTATATTTATATTGTTATCTTGAGTGATGTCCCTTACATGTTGTTATCTATAAATAGTTCTCTCTCGCCATTTCCCTCTCTCTCTTTTCCATCATGGCGTCTGTACATAATAAAGACTGTTAACAACCAATGTGGCTCCTCGTCAGTGATTACAATCTATCACATTTTGGCGACGAGGATAAACATCTACTAGAAAGAGCACCTACTTACGCAA